ACACACACACACACACACACACACACAAACATGCTCTTCTAATTTAATTAAAAATAAAAACGATTTCTCTTATCTCCCTCCACTCTTCACATCCTGGAGACAGCGGCCAGACTCCAGGTGAATTTCAATGTCAAAGACACGGAGGTAACGCTGCAATCTGTTCGCTCTGTCAAGTGGCTGTGTGCGTGTAGGTGTAGGTGTGTGTACTGTATGTGCTGTGTGACTGGTGTGTGTGGGGGGGGGCAGGCCTATTCATCTGTCTGGTGTGATGGTGGCTCTGTAACGGGCCGAGGCGTGAGTGTGCTCTCTGTGATCTGCAGATAAGAGTCATCCATCTGCTGTGTGTGTCTGTCAGGCAGCGCCGCTTATCGCTGCACTCATCCATTTCCCTCAATCCCTCTCACACACACACACACACACACACACACACACACACACACACACACACACTCCCCTCTCCTCGTCCCTCTGCACAGTTCAGATGCTGCGCTCAATCTTGATTAGGAGACGAGGAGACAATCACACGGAGGTGCAGCGAGGTGATGAAATGCTGCAAATATGCATGCATGCAGAGAGGTGCTGTAAAGGGCTACAAGCATGGAGCAATGTGCAGAAACACACACACACACACACACACACACACACACACACACACACACACACACACACACACACACGCACACACACACTCACACACACACACCTCTTTTCACCCTTTGTCTGAAACCAGAGCCCAGTCTACTCTGATTGGTTAGCTGGACAGCTCTGTTGTGATTGGTCAACTGCTTAGAGATGTCCCGCCCCTTGGCCTATCGCACAATATGTTGGAGCGCTAGTGCAATAGACTTTGCAGACCATTTACATGCACACAAATCTATATAACACACTACCGGAAAGGGAGTACCCCAAAAAAATAGTACAATAGGGCCTCTTTAAATAAAAATATCTGAGTATTATGTATTGCATGTTCAAAGTATTTGTTTCTTCTCAGTTTTTAATCTATTTCTCCCCCCTTTCCCACTTTTTGAGGGGAGATTTCCGTTGCACAGGTAGTTAGTATTCAGGGCCTCTTCCTCCGCCTATCACATTACCCTCTCTAGCCGCTTCAGAGGGCAGGACAAGCCCCTTTCTTGTACCTGTTACAGAAGAAAATACCCCTTCCTTCCTCCCTAACATCAATCACACAGGTGAAGAATAAGCTGCCCTATTATCTTTTCATTCCTCAGTCCTCGTGAATCCCTCTGAGCGGCGTATTCTCCTCTGTGAAACATGAGAGAGCATGAAGCGGCATGACAAGATGATTTGTGTACAGTAGCAACAGCAGCTCAGCCCAGGGGAGTGTAGTTTACACGGGGGAATCCATTTAGGCCGCACATAACAAAGCTTCACACACACCGCACCGCAGCTCTGTTGTCTCGGCAATCTGTACTTAGTTTGTCACGATCAATATTGTAGGAACCAACCCCATTATTAATTCATACTCATAAAAACAGCACAGCGCCACTTCAAAGAGGATACAAACACGCTGTTTCACATGGGATCATTACACATAGATAACGTGTTTCCATCATCAGTATTAATAGTATATGCGGCTCCAGAGACGTCACTGCTGCTGGCCCTGCAGCGGGACAGCTTTTTGCTCGTGGAATATTTATAGCTGTGCATTAAAAGTGGAATCAAGGGGTTTAAGTGTACCGTTGCAACACGGCTGCTGTTCCCCTTTGTCTAGGCCTGTCCAAAAATGTCCCGCTCCAGGCTATATGCAGTGTGAAATGTCAGATATCACACACTGCTGTCATATCAAAGCTGGAATACATTAAAGAACAGCTGTTTGATTCTCCTCTTCAGCAGCACGCGCTGCATCAAAGAGCTGGCGTTCATTTAGATGGCTTTCACATGTACAGTAGAGGGTCTTTGTAGTGTTGGAAGAAGTACTCACATCTGTTAAACTCAGTAAAAGTAGATATACTTCAGTGTAGAAATACTCTGTTACAAGTATAAGTCCTGCATTCAAAGTACTCAAGTGCACATACTTTCCACAACTATAAAGAGGTGAAGGCAATAATATAGTATAATAGTTTACCTAAGTAGAGGTAGTAATAGTGTATAAAGATACTCTGTAACACGTGAAAGTCCTGCATTCAAAATGTTATGTAAAGTGGAAAACAAAGTTAATTTGCCCGCAGGTAAAAAGGTGTAAAGTATTTAATTGTCAACATTTTCAAGTAAAGTCAAAATTGTACCAGAAATACTTTATAACAAGTCAAAGTAAAACATGTATTTGCATCAAATGATACTTACATTTCCAAGTACGTATTAGGCAGAGGTGGGGGAAGCACTCAGATCTTGTACTTGAGTAAAAGTAGAAGTACTCAGATCTTGTACTAGAGTAAAAGTAGAAGTACTTAGATCTTGTACTTGAGTAAAAGTAGAAGTACTCAGATCTTGTACTTGAGTAAAAGTAGAAGTACTCAGGTCTTGTACTTGAGTAAAAGTAGAAGTACCAGAGAGTAGGAATACTCTGTTACAGTAGAAGTCCTGCATTCAAAATGTTCCTCAAGTAAAAGTAGAAAAGTATTATCATCAAAATATAGTGAAAGTAGCGACAGTAAAAGTAGTCATTGTGCAGATTGGTCCATTTCAGAATAATATATATGATATGTTTTATAATGATTGATCATGAAAGTGTTCTCAAAGCTGGTAAAGGTGCAGCTAGTTTGAATGACTTTGTATACTGCAGGGTAGCTTGTGAATTTACTCCAGGTGGAACTAAAGTCTGATTTAACACTTGATTATATTTCACATCATTCATCCACATCTGTGAAGTAACTAAAGGGATTAAATACATGTAGTGGAGTACAAGTACACCATTTACCTCTGATTTGAAAAGGAGTAGAAGTACAAAGTAGCATAACATAGAAATATTCAAGTGAAGTACAAGTATTTTAAAATGGTACTTAATTACAGAACTTGAGTAAATGTACTTAGTTACTTTACACCTCTGGTATTATGCAGAATGGCTTATAACAGAAAAACACATTACAGTATTTAAATATAGTTATGACTGCATTGGTTTTTCAACATTTGGGAATAATATTTTTATAATTTCCTTTACTGCTAGCTACTGAATTACTCCATTATCTTATAATAATAATGATAATACATACAGATGTATATGTTGATTACATTTAGTCTTTAAAATGTAATATCTAGTAAAGCAAAGCTGTCAGATACACTTATTAGTGCAGTAAAACCTACACATTTCCCTCTGAATTCAGCATATTGGCAAAAAATTTGAAAAACTCAAGTAAAGTACAATTACTCTAAAGTATTGCTTAAAGGGGACCTATCATGCAAAATGCACTTTTGTACGTCTTTTATACATGAATATGTGTCCCCGGTGTTCCAGGGAACTCACCAAGTGTCAGAAAACACAACCCTCTCTATTTTCCTCCATACCCAAATCTCTAAAAAAGGGGCTGCAACGGATCTGATAAAAACTGATCCAGATTTGAACACTGTCCTGACGTCAGGACAGTGGCGCTACGGCTATTGGGCCAACTCCACCAATCAGGAGGAGACAGCCACGGCCATTGCCGTTCGAAAGCGCTGGAGACGCTGTAGTACATATGCCAGGCCTGTAGATGGTGCTGTTCTCACAGAATCTGCCCTTGCTAAAACAGAGCTAACATTTTTCAAATTGAGCGAAATGAGGCATGGCTAAAATGCATGATCTGTTTGGTATTTTGAAAAAAAAAAAGTATAAATATGCCTTATATAGATATGGTCCTATACTATATTATTCAAATATAGCATGATAGGTCCACTTTAAGTAAATTACTTAAAGGTCCCATGTCATGGTCATTTCTACTGATCATAATTCCATTGTTGAGGTCTACTAAAATAGATTTATATTGTTCAATGTTCCAAACTCACATTGGTTTCTCATACAGCATCTCTGTATAGTATGTGTATTCACTCTCTGTCCTACACGCCTTGTTGGAGCTCCTGCCCCCCCCCGCTCCCTATGAGCCCACTGTGCTCTGATTGGTCAGCTCGCCCACTCTGTTCTGTTGAGTCCACCACCGTTACAGCGGAACATCAGTGATTATGTGTTACAATGGCGTTTGTTAGCAACCAGAAAATGACACCAGTAATGACAAACAGATGAGAATGCTGAGTGGGGTCTGGGTGCCATGTTGGCGGGACGTTGCGGGGCTCGCTGCTGGAGCGGACAGTGTGAGCTGGCTTGCTGCTGGTGTTGTTTCCTGGTTGCTACGGGGGATCTGCGAGACAGCGAGACACAGCGAAACCCAGCCTGAACCGAGCCCGAGCCCACACACACCCCTGCAGCCTGGCTGTGAGTCTGCGTGTGTGCTCAGAACGAGCCCAGGCCGAGCCCCGCCGCGTCTCGCCGCCTCAGGCTGAGTTCAGGCTGAGAAATCCGCGGAGCTGCAGCTGAGAAAAGATTGAGTGTGTGTGTGTGAGGAAGTCACACTATACCCAATACGTCACTGTACTTACTACACTATAAGAAGAAAACAATGGAAAAATAAAAATGTCCAACGAGGCGTTCTGGGACAGCATAGACAGGTCTTTTCTGTGTTAGAGTTTTACTCGCTACAGGGTGCACTTTGAGGGTTTGTGACTCTGCAGACCGTTTACATGCAGAAAAAGCTAAATAACACACAAGGGGACGGGTAATAACCGGAAAAGCATGACATGGGAACTTTAAAAAAATCTATTTCACACTAAGGATGCTCTGTTTTTAGACGCTCTGAGAATTCCAGACAGTTTTGCAAAGGAAAATTGTATTGATTCCTGATTTTATGCACAAATAAAAGCTCCAATACTGGCATCAAAGTGTTAAATGATATACTGTATTCACTCATCGCTCAGATAAAGACCTTCAGGAGGAAATGATATGAATATAATCTGAACTATGCTGCCATCTTGTGGATAAATCCTGCGGTAAATACAAAGAGACAGTGACAGCAGGGTGAAACAAACTCCTATTTATTAGGTCTGAGTCAAAAGGGTGGACATTTATCTTCAAAGCAAAAACAAATTTAACCAAAGCAACAAACAGGTATCTCCAAACTACAGTGTCTATAAAACACAGCACACAAAATATAACTTTCTGATCATGTTTATGAAAAAACCTCCCGATTTTTTTTTGATAGAATTTATCCATGAATTAAAACACATGTACTTGCCTTTCATCTAAAAGACAGTGCTGGAATATTATTTACAGTTCATTGCTAAGAAAAGTAAGCAAATACAAATACTAGTTTTGTTACAGTGCACTCATTAACATTGCTGTGGATTTAAACGGACACTGTGCACGGAGAAAAGGTCATGTGATCATCGCCTCACATGCTCACAGGCATGCCGTCATGTAGAAAAAACAATGTAATAAATACCAACTTTTTAAAAAGTAGATAACACAAAAATAAAACACATGACATGAAAACTCATCTTAACTGTTAAAGAAAGCGAATTCCTCTTAAGTTAAATTCTAAGAAAAGGGAAAAATAATACAATTCTATTTATTGTAGGAGCGGAAACCGACAAACTAAGCAATGATATTACAAACACCGGAGATGATTATTTAACGAGGGAAGGAACAAACGCATCGATGAAGAAGGTAGCATATTAAAACAAAATGTCTTCCTATTAACTACAGTAGAGTACACGCTTTCCTATACACAGCCGACAAAAACCAGAGTGTTCATGTCTGTTAATTTCAATAAAACTACCACCATGATCCCTGAGAACTAATTTTGGTTCAGTGCATCTCAAATGTACTGTCATTATTATCAATTTATTTTCACGTGTGTGTTAAATTCCTAAAAACGTTGCTTTGAAATGACTGTGAATAATGCCACTGAAGGGTTTTTATGTCACAAATTGTAATGCCGTTAATCCGGATCTCTCCAACAGGCTGCTGCACGATGCTCCTCTTTAAATAGAAGATTAGAAAACAATAAAATACGACTACACAGTACCGAGTGTATAAAACAGAGGGGACACCATGCTGCCTTGGCTTTATTATTTATTATTAACCCTGATTTGAAATATTCTTTTAGGTATAAAAACAACAACAAAAATGGATATTCTGTGCATAAAAACGACATTGCTCTGTTACTGTTCGTCGTAAGTGCCGGCTTTTCACTCTTCATCTTCAGGCCTGCTCATCCTCTCCCTGCTCGCTGTCGTCAGAGCCTGCAGGAGAAAAAAGACGCTTAGCATTTAAAAAGACCCTGAAAGGAAGGATGATAAATGAGTATACAATATCCGCTTTCACACCAAGTTCTTTGCCGTACTTAGTTCCCAGCACTTAGTACCCCCATGGAACTAAGAGCCGATCGCGTTCACACCATGGATGTATAATAAGAACTGGATACAGCGTGGGAGGCGGGGTCTCGTTCTTTCCTATGAGAGCTGCTCATTGGCTCATGAGGACAAAATGGCCCAACTTTTGAGAGAGCGAAACGTCACAGATTACCCATCATGCCTGGCTGTCAGAGCAGAGAACCCGTATGTGCGCTCACAGAGCATGCGCCCCTTAAGCCCCGCCCCCTGAGCTCCCACTCTCGGCTCACTAGAATGAATGGAGAGAGAAAATAAATCTAGATTTGGCTTTTAGTGCATTTTACAACTTTAAGGACCGAATGATTCTAATAAGGGCTATAACAGTTCATACTGGGTAGTTTATTTAAAGTCAATGGGAAAAAGTTGTTTTGGGCTGGGTGACGTCACTGACTGATACGGAAGTTGCAGTACCGCCGTTTGGACACAACGAATGTTGGGCACAGAGTCCGGCGCACTTCCTGGGGGCTTGGTTCACACAGGAATAAATTACCTGAGGGAGGATTAGGCAAATGAAGCCGCTGACGTCACTTCTTCTTCTGCTTTGGGTTTACTGGCAGGTCGCAAACAACTTCACGGCGTATACTGCCTCCCGAAGTTCCCGGGCGGAAGTCCCCGGAGTTGGGGACTGGCTTCCGAGTAAATCGCCAGAACACCGACACCTCCTCATCTCCACCGCTCCCATGTTTTTTTTTGTGTTGCCATAAGTTATTCTCTCTCCGTTGGTGCGCTGGGCTAATGCTAATGCTAATAATGCTAATGCCAGCAAATACAATGGCGGCTTCAAAAAACTTTTCCGAGTTTTACGGGGCGTGGTTTGCAATTCGCCCAGCCAATAGAAATTGGAACTTTTTTCTCCCCAGGAAAGTACCACCTCTCTAGCAGGGACTAAAAAGGGGGTAAAAGTTATCTTTCTCTTTTTGGTGTGAACGCAACATCCCAGGAACTATCGGAACTCAAAGGGAAAAGTACTCCGGTGTGAAAGCGCCTATTGAGTATAAAATATGAATAAATAAGGTAAAGTCTCCCCACTGTTTGTAGTGAGTGTTTTCTCACCGTCAATCACGATTTCTCCTGTTTCCTCTCCTTCCTCTGGACTCTCATCTGAGGAGGAGACAGCTTTTTAATTCAGTTCATCCCCCATTAGCATCATTTATATCACAGCTGGTTTACAAGTGAGTGAAGATGATGCTAACCCAGCATGGATGTGATATAATTCTGTCATTGTTGTACAGCTTAGTGAATGCCATAGAAATGCATTTCATTATCTAATATGACAGTCAGTCCTTACTTAAAACAAAACTAGGAATAAATAAGTTGTTGTGCCACTAGTGCGATATCAAACTGTTTAGATACTTCCATCATTTTCAGATGCAAAAGTCGTTTCTTCATGAAGCTGAGGAGGAAAGTATTGTGCTTTTTTTCTCATTTCGGTTGACATTAAGACGTGTGCATTGTGTCTTGAAATCTGCAAATTCCTGTTCATGAGCTGATGAATTATAACGGTACATTAGATTAGTGCAAAGACCTGAACACTCGCTGATACTCAATACAGCATTTAGGCATTTTGGAACAGCTGTAATGCTTAAAAAAAGCTAACATTCATTTTCAAAATATACTGGATGTAAAAAGTGCTATATTTATATAAATAATCTCTGTTCCCAAACCAGACTTTTGGACCAGCAGGGTTTCAGCTGTATTTCTAAGTTATTCTTCCTTACTAACCAGCGCTTCGCCCCTTGTCGTCTTCTTCCTCCTCCTCCTCCTCCTCTTCCTCCTCTTCCTCTTCCTCTTCATCCTCCTCTCCCTCCTTCTTCTTCCTGTGGCCTGGCTCCTCCTCCCCAGCTTCCTCCCCGGGCTCATCGTCCGAGTCGGAGATCACCACACAGTCGTCTCCGTTACCGTTATCAGCCGCTCGGCCCCCGCTGCTGCCGCCACTGGAGACGAAACACACACACACACATTGGTGTTAACAACACACACACACACACACACACTCATTGTCTCGGTATGCATCCCACCTGGTCCCACGGGCAGGAAGTGAAGGAGGGAAACAAATCAGGAAACTGTTAAAGTTTGTTCATGGACTGTAATTTCAAAGCCCCGGGGCCGAGAATATTTCTGTAATGTTCGGCTTAATGATGGGTTTGTCCTCAGAACACACATTGCACTGCGTGTTCTGTGGTTTGAATACACACACACATTTTTGTTTTGTTTAACTAGAACCCACCAAGGGTTAACTGTTTTAGTTTTTAAGGGAGACATGGCCGAGAGAGAATCAACAGAAACACAAAAAGAGACTTTAAATTAGGGATGCTCCGATCGCCAATTTTGGGGCCGATAGCCGGAATCATTATCGGCCGATACCGATCGCCGATCGCCGATCCGATCGAGTGGGCGGGGCCTATGGGGATCTTCCATTTAAAGTGATGTTTAAAACTCTGTTAATGCTCATTCACTGGTGCTTCCACAAACAACAACCAACATCATTATTACATTCAAATTAAGTACATTATTCAAGTTTACATTAACTTTGGATAATAACACGGAAGCGCTCTCTTTTCCTCTCTCCCCCTCTCTCTCTCCCCCTCTCTCTTTTCCTCTCCCCCTCTCTCTCTCTCCTGACAGCCCGTCAGTATCGTCTCATGCAGCTCACTGATCCAGTAATGAGTGACCCGACAGTGAAGAATAAATATATTTATAACTAGTTTAGCTTGTTCCAGAGGTAGATCAAATAGCTAAGTGTGTTGGTGTGTTGGTTTTAGTGCATGTAAATGGTCTGCAGAGGCTTAAATTCCTGTGTTGCCTTCAGAGGGAGTTTCTCTCCCACACACTTGTATCATATCATGACTGTTGCAAATAAAGGAACCAAAAATGAATCATAGCGCATAGGCATACATTTTTTTTAGATAATTACATTTGCCTCCAAATTGTATTGTGTTTTATTTGTTGTTAATTATTATGATATACGCTCATTATATCACGGCTAAGAACCAATCAGATTGCTTGATTTGACTTATCTGTTTTATAATATGTGTTAAATGCCTATGTGAAACACTTTTGAATTGCCTCTGTGTCTTAAAATGTGCTATACAAATAAACTAACCTTGAACTAACCTTATGTAAATGAATGATTTAATAAGACATTTATTTGAGTTATGTATTTCTATAAAATATCCAAAGTGTCCTACCTGCCGTTCTCCCTGGGTTCCCACAGTGGAGTGAGGTAGTATCTCAGAGGGTCTCGGTACAGGTCGTCCTTCAGGATCTGAACACAACAACAGGAGTCATTTCAATCTGTTAGGGTATAATAAAGGATTAAATACATTAAACACAGCCCTGCCTTAGCTATAATCAAAATTGAAACGTCTACATATCCCTAAATCCTCATAGTGTATTATGAAACTGCAGAGAAAGTTGAATACACAAAGAAGACAATGATATCTTGTTACACAATTCAGACTTTAAGCACATACCTGGCACATAATCATTGCAATGAAAAGTTGTCTAGTTGGATGAAGTGCATCATAATACTAGTTAAAATGTAACTAATTCACCTTTAAAACACAGTTACAGTGCTATCCATTTCAAACTGAACATATTTGATATGCACAGAGAATGAAATGAATCATCCTGTCTCATATCAGGATATCTAAGATAAAGCAAAATGGAACAAGAAACACATAAAATGACATAAAACCTATTCTATAAGTATTGTTTTTAAAAAGGTAAGAAGATCTCCAGTGTCATACCACAATATGTATATAAACCAGCAACTAAACGTGTAGTAAAACTAACAAAACAATATGACACATCAAAGCAATTCCACACGATAGAATAAGTAGCATTTTCTTCCACTGTACACGACTTAATGTCCCTTTCTGTTCGTCTTATTCTTTTGAACCACATGGTTTACTTATTCCTGCCTGTACTTGCATCATTGTGTCAGTTGAACAATTGTCTTGCACAATCTGTCTTTTGATGTCTGAAGATGATTGTGTGTTGCTCTGTTGGAGGAGCCTGTGACTAAACATTTTAATCACCAACAACAACAACAACGCTGAAGCTATTGTGCAAGCAGCAATAACACGGCTAAAGAATGGTTTTTTTTGTTTGCCGTTTTAGAAAATATCGAAAGGCCCTTTTCCTTTGTGTGTGTGTATCTGGCTAAATCTGAACTGGTGTCAGCGTTGACCTCCAGCTCTGTGTGCTGTTATCAGGGTTCATACACTTTTTCACCAATGACTTCTCCATGACATTTACCTATATAAGGTCTGCATATGAAACATGTTGTGCCTATCTAAAACAAATCAAATAGTAGGCTTACTAGCTTCTACACGCTAAAGCAACTAAAATCTCTCACCAGCAAAATACCTCCTGAGTTAAATGCCATTTTACATTTCATTACTATCATTATAGTATTACTATTTCGGCGATTAGATCAAATATAAATTATATTTGATGCAACTTTAGTTACATTTCCATGACTTTTCCAAAACTTTGGGGAAAATATTGTTTTCCATAACTTTTCCAGGGCCTGGAATTAGCATTTTGAATTTCAATGACTTTTCCAGGTTTTTAATGACCGTAAGAACCCTGTGTTATAATCAATCTGTCAGTGTGAGAGTGGAGTAATTTACCTATAAAGTAAAATAAATAAAATGGAATAAATCATGCACAAAATCACATAAAAGCAATTATTCACAATACAATAAGTAGTATTTTATTAAACTGTACAGGTTATATTTGAACTTTTTCCATTTCATAACATAGCTTAGTTTTTCCTGCATTTTACTTGCACTTTTGTTATGTCTTTATTTTGAACTGCTTGTGTCCCTTTCATGTTGCCTTGTTGGAGGAGACTGGGGTGGGTTACCTTGGTTGGTGATTGGCTAATGGTTACCCAAGCCAAAACATCATTATGACATCATAAAGTGGCCACAATCTGATCAGCTCATTTTCAGACAGGTTTTTATATAAATGGATCAGGACATGTTGATGTATAAGAGACATGAACAAGTGGATTTTGCATAATAGGTTACCTTTAAAAGCTTGCAAAGGCTTTTCCCCTTTGTGAATGTATCTTGTGTTATCTCTCCAGTGTTACTGTCCTGCTTTGTGAGCTGTTCTAATGAAGATGTGTCAGTGTGGAGGTGCAGTCGTTGGTACCTGTGCTACGTCGTCCTGCCCAGGGGTGCTGTGGTCGCTGAACCAGCTGAAGAACGTTTGGTAGACGCCGCGCGACGACTTCCTGGCCTCGCTGTGGGCCGTCAGGTTCTGCCCGCGGTGCCACAGGATGGGGTTGGAGAAGGACATCGGAGAGCCTGAAACACCAGCAGCCAGGGAAGAAGGAGATTTTAGCCAGGGATACATTGATTGCAAACTTCTCAGCTGATAACGTTTAGTTAAAACACACAAACTGTTTGGGAAATACTGAATGTCTTCTTCCAATATGAGAGTACACATGATAACAAAGGTATCCCAACTGTAGCTGTGTACATGACAGGATGTATGATTACCTAGAAGAGCATCAGGACTGTTTTAGGCATATGATAGCTATGTGATTAACATGATGATTCAGCCTCTATGGAGAGAGACATATGACAAGCATGATCATTTCTGACGTGGAGCTAATCTGAAGTAAACATTGAATACTGCTTTATATTCCTCCATCTTGTGACTGTGTAATTCCCTCTCTTGTATATCAGCATGTGAAGGACACTGTTCAGGAACTAGTTGATGCTCTGTGTGTGATGACTACTTCCATTCTGGAGAGGATCACAAATACATGCAGGGCTAGACATTATAAATGGCCCGCTGGCCCGGAAGCACTATTTAGACCCCCCGGAGCCAGCATAACGTACTTTCCACTTGCCCTTCCCTACAGTCTTTCTCGCCACCTAACCATTCGCCAAAATGTTTTTAATACCAGCGGTAACCAGCCAAGCAAAAAACAATCTTCAAATAAAAGAATGTCACCGGAAGAGTTAAAGGAGAGTGACATCAACGCCGACCTATGCTGACAAGTAAGTGAAGAGTAGAACAAATATAAAGGTATATTGGCTATAGGGGAATGTCCCAGCAGTTTAGGAGAATGAAGGCTCTAATCTAATCTATTACATTTGTAACTCCTGATAATGACAGGAAGGCAGAAAGCGCATTATACAAATAATAATACTCATAATAATGATAATAGCAGACATTTTTTAACAATGACCACAATATAATTATTTTAATAAACCAAATATAAACAATTGAGGAAAATGAGGAAGAACTGATGATTCAAATGCTGTAGAAATGTAGTTTGTGCATAAATTACTATTGCAACACATGTGTTCATTTTCTTCATTATTAGTCGGTTTGTTTGGACGAATGCTCTCGGGCCAGTGGTTACAATGTGATAATAAAATGCCATTAATGTCTACCCCTGACATGGATCCTGAGATTGAAGCTCAAGCCGGTGACCAGTGATATTTTAACAAATGATAAACAGTGCAGGAAAAGGCCAAAAACCCACTGGGAATTATTTGATGCCTTCACCTCAAAAGTATTGTTAAAATGTCACAATGTTATAAAAAACACAAAAGCTCTGGTTTCCTTTTAGCCATGTACTCATCACTCAGTTTGCAGTTGTTTCCAGAGAATTTGCTTTTATCTTTATTCAAAGTTAATTATGAATAAATGTACCATGGTTTGCCACATTCGTGTACCCAATGAAACGCTATATGAGATTCAAGGGTTTTATCATCATGTGCACATTAGCTACAGTGTAGATATGGAAAAACTTAAGTCCAAGGCTCCTCCAATAATGCAACATAATATATATATAGGACACAAAACAAATAAAAACCAAAACAAAAGTTCAAGAAATAACAGAAAACAAATAAAATAGTACGAGAGAATGTTGTAGGATCTGCAAGTAAACACAAATAAAACTGAAATAGTGCAAGAAGAGTCTATACACACGTAAATGGAATATGATATATAGATAAATAAGTAACTATTAAGATAATAAATTAAATAAATTCTAAGATGTAACCAGATGAAAGCTTTGGGTTATTGAGGCAAGGCAACGGATATTTAAAGGCAAATAAGAATATACAAATATATTTTAGATATCCTCAGCTGGTATGCATGTGTGACTGTGTGTTCTTTCTATGTTAATAAACCCAATAAATATAATGTTTAAAAAAAAATATATATCCTCCACTGGCTCTACAGTATACGTGAGATATACAGTGCGATGGTGCAACTCTGTGTATTCATTATGCATGATAACTAGAATAGAATATACAACAACTCTCACTGCAGTAGACACAACTCTCACCGCAGTAGACACAACTCTCACCGCAGTAGACACAACTCTCACCGCAGTAGACACAACTCTCACCGCAGTAGACACAACTCTCACCGCAGTAGACACAACTCTCACCGCAGTAGACACAACTCTCACTGCAGTAGACACAACTCACACAACTCTCACTGCAGTAGACACAACTCTCACCGCAGTAGACACAACTCTCACTGCAGTACACAACTCTCACTGCAGTAGACACAACTCACACAACTCTCACTGCAGTAGACACAACTCTCACCGCAGAGTAGACACAACTCTCACCGCAGTAGACACAACTCTCACCGCAGTAGACACAACTCTCACCGCAGTAGACACAACTCTCACCGCAGTAGACACAACTCTCACCGCAGTAGACACAACTCTCACCGCAGTAGACACAACTCTCACCGCAGTAGACACAACTCTCACCGCAGTACACAACTCTCACTGCAGTAGACACAACTCTCACCGCAGTAGACACAACTCTCACCGCAGTAGACACAACTCTCACCGCAGTAGACACAACTCACACAACTCTCACTGCAGTAGACACAACTCTCACTGCAGTAGACACAACTCTCACTGCAGTACACAACTCTCACTGCAGTACACAACTCTCACTGCAGTAGACACAACTCGCACAACTCTCACTGCAGTAGACACAACTCTCACCGCAGAGTAGACACAACTCTCACCGCAGAGTAGACACAACTCTCACCGCAGTAGACACAACTCTCACCGCAGTAGACACAACTCTCACCGCAGTAGACACAACTCACACAACTCTCACTGCAGTAGACACAACTCTCACCGCCGTAGACACAACTATCACTACTCTCACTGCAGTACACAACTCACACAACTCTCACAACTCTCACCGCAGTAGACACAACTCTCACTGCAGTAGACACAACTCTCACCGCCGTAGACACTACTCTCACAACTCTCACCGCAGTAGACACAACTCTCACCGCAGTAGACACAACTCTCACGGCAGTAGACACAACTCTCACCGCAGTAGACACAACTCTCACGGCAGTAGACACAACTCTCACCGCAGTAGACACAACTCTCACCGCAGTAGACACAACTCACACTGCAGTAGACACAACTCTCACTGCAGTAGACACAACTATCACTACTCTCACTGCAGTACACAACTCTCACTGCATCTACTCTCACTGCAATATACACAACTCTCACTGCAGTAGACACAACTCTCACTGCAGTAGACACAACTCTCACTGCAATATACACAACTCTCACTGCAGTAGACACAACTCTCACTGCAGTAGACACAACTCTCACTGCAGTAGACACAACTCTCACCGCAGTAGACACAACTCTCACCGCAGTAGACACAACTCTCACCGCAGTAGACACAACTCTCACCGCAGTAGACACAACTCTCACCGCAGTAGACACAACTCTCACCGCAGTAGACACAACTCACACCGCAGTAGACACAACTCTCACTGCAGTAGACACAACTATCACTACTCTCACTGCAGTACACAACTCACACCGCAGTAGACACAACTCTCACGGCAGTAGACACAACTCTCACCGCAGTAGACACAACTCTCACCGCAGTAGACACAACTCTCACCGCAGTAGACACAACTCTCACCACAACTCACACAACTCTCACCGCAGTAGACACAACTCTCACTGCAGTAGACACAACTATCACTACTCTCACTGCAGTACACAACTCTCACTGCATCTACTCTCACTGCAATATACACAACTCTCACTGCAGTAGACACAACTTACACAACTCTCACTGCAGTAGACACAACTCTCACTACTCTCACTGCATCTACTCTCACTGCAATATACACAACTCTCACTGCAGTAGACACAACTCTCACTGCAGTAGACACAACTCTCACTGCAATATACACAACTCTCACTGCAGTAGACACAACTCTCACTGCAATATACACAACTCTCACTGCAGTAGACACAACTCTCACTGCAATATACACAACTCTCACCGCAGTATACACAACTCTCACCGCAGTAGACACAACTCTCACCGCAGTAGACACAACTCTCACCGCAGTAGACACAACTCTCACCGCAGTAGACACAACTCTCACCGCAGTAGACACAACTCTCACCGCAGTAGACACAACTCTCACCGCAGTAGACACAACTCACACAACTCTCACCGCAGTAGACACAACTCACACAACTCTCACTGCAGTAGACACAACTCTCACTGCAGTAGACACAACTCTCACTGCAGTAGACACAACTCTCACTGCAGTAGACACAACTCTCACTGCAGTAGACACAACTCTCACTGCAGTAGACACAACTCTCACTGCAGTAGACACAACTCTCAACTGCAGTAGGACACAACTCTCACTGCAGTAGACACAACTCTCACTGCAGTAGACACAACTCTCACCGCAGTAGACACAACTCTCACCGCAGTAGACACAACTCTCACTGCAGTAGACACAACTCTCACGGTAGTAGACACAACTCTCACTGCAGTAGACACAACTCTCACCGCAGTAGACACAACTCTCACCGCAGTAGACACAACTCTCACCGCAGTAGACCACAACTCTCACCGCAGTAGACACAACTCTCACCGCAGTAGACACAACTCTCACCGCAGTAGACACAACTCTCACCGCAGTAGACACAACTCACACAACTCTCACCGCAGTAGACAAAACTCTCACTGCAGTAGACACAACTCTCACCGAAGTAGACACAACTCACACAACTCTCACCGCAGTAGACACAACTCTCACTGCAGTAGACACAACTCTCACTGCAGTAGACACAACTCTCACTGCAGTAGACACAACTCTCACTGCAGTAGACACAACTCTCACCGCAGTAGACACAACTCTCACTGCAGTAGACACAACTCTCACTGCAGTAGACACAAATAAATAAGAGTGGTAAAAGCAGAGGTAGTAGCGATGAGAGTGCAACGAGATAAATTTCAATGTCAATGTTACAGTCTAAAAATGTTAGTATAAATGTAGTGTATTTCTAACTGTGTGTTCACAAAGGGTTATAGTAACCAAAGGATGCAAGTCAAATAGCCATAAATATTTCTAAAGAGTAGTGGTTGCATTCTTTGAGGGGCGGAGGTGTGTTTATGAATGTTCACAGTAACTACAATATGCTTTGACTTAATCACAACATGCATATCTTTACCTCCCATCCCGAGGTGCAGCTCCTTCATGATGATGTTGTTCTGGAAGTACGGGTTCCGTCTGAAGTGGAAACGGATCCTGTAGCCCAGCTTATTATTCTTAAAGGACTCGATCTGAAAAAACACATAAAAGGAAATGTCTGAGTATGACCACCACTAGGCATATAAAAGGAAGAGCCAAATCTGTAAGAACAAAGCAACACTTCTTACCTCGAGATCCGTCATGTAGCTCAGAGCGTCTTCATCGGTCTCGTCAATGTGAGCCGAGAGGTGAGGATGATTCAACAGCTGGCGTATGGAAGTTAAGAAAAACTCAAAACATATTAAATTATTATAATTAGAGCTGGGGATTGGAGACAGTACAAAAAGAAAAATCACAATATTTCTACAAGATACTGCAACGATATTGAAGGGTTGTCTTTCAAAGTATATATATACACCATGACATTTTTTGTTGTTGAGATTTTCATTAGTTAAGTGGATATACACTTCTTGCTCCTGCTGGCAAACAGTGCATGCATGTGTGTGAATTTGTGAATGCTGTTTTGAACATCTAAAAGTGCTTTAGGTAGTCATAAAGACAGGTAAAGCACTTTATAAATTAAAGCTCATTGTGGAATAGCCTCCCAACTGGGATACGGGATTGTCCCACTCTCAATAGTTTTAAAGGTCAACTTAAAGAATGGTTGAGAAACAAACAGACGTGCAATCACCGCTAAATACACTTTATACAGGGGTATCTTATCTTTCACTTTATGTAGCACTTTTATCTTATCTTGCCCTTTATATACCATAGCTGCTACATTGTACTGCCATGTGGTTAATGTATGCTGCTCATGCTCTTTCTGCATATCAGTGTTTCCCTTATATACAAATAGTGGCGCTGCACCGCCGCTGCTGAAATATGCGCGCCGCTGCTAGGGGGCGCCAGCCAGGTACCCAAAAAAACATAATTAGGCATAATTATTAAAATAATAATAAGTGGCAACCCTTTTTCATTTTTGATTGTTTGTTATGTGGATTTGTAGTATTTGTGTTACTGTATGTTCAATTAGGGCTGTGCAATTAATCGTATTTTAATCGCAATTACGATTTTGGCCTGCCACAATTACGAAAACAACATAATCGAAAAAAACAATTATTTAGCTTTGCTAGGTTGTGACATATTTGATCTAATTAATTTTGGTCTCATTTATTTGTATTTATATATGTTTAGTAGCTTGTTGAAGTGCGCTCCAAAATATTTGTTGATCTTGTTTATTGGTATTTATTATTTTGATATTATTTATTTAAATGTATCATTTATTTTATTTATTTTTGTATTGGTTTTTCAGTTGAATTATACGTTCAGGGTAATCAACAGTTAACAAGATACTGTTCAAATTATTATTTGTATTTGTTTTAAAGTTCAATAAATGGATTTTTTCAAAGTCAATGAATAATCGTATTTAATAATCGTGATATCAATTATTGACCCAAATAATCGTGATTATGATTTTTGCCATAATCGCACAGCCCTATGTTAAATAAAGGTGTTTTTTTTTTTTTTCCACTCCTTTATAATTATTAGGATAAATAAACACAGGTTTGAAATCATTCCAATGTATACTATAGGACAGTAAACCAAAAATATCATTTAAAGTTGGAGATACAAACATATGCATAAATAAATAAATGTTAACTGGTAAAATAAGATATGAATGAACAACAAAAATAAAATAAGTTACATTTATTTGTTATTGGCTATGGTGGGTTATTGGTTATGTTAATATACTTATTTGATTATTAAAATGTAAACCGATCTTTTTCAGATGGGTGTTTTAGAGTTGTACCCCCCAGATCAGGTCTCTAGTAATTGTGTGCTCAAAGTGCACCAGATTGAAGCATTTTACTTTAAAATGTTCAAAAAAATCTTCGCGGGGGGGCAGACCCCCGGACCCCCCTAGAGGATGTGACGTCCATCCCCCAATTAAAACATGTTCAATACTGAATACATTTGAAGCCATTTTGATGTCTATTACCTATGTCAATAAGTTTCTGTTTTTGTAGTGTATTTGTCTTTTGTAGAGATTTTATATATAAAATCTCGCCTAGGGCAGCAAATTGTCTAGAACCGGCCCTGGTACTAGGCCTCAAGAGCCTTTCTTGTGCTGGCAGACACATAGAAACAAATTGGCGGGGTGCACTTCGCACGTGCACACACTGAAAAATTCCATGCGCTCCACGCTCACATTATGCTGGGCCCACGTGCCTTAGCACCGCTGCTATGACTCCATCCTAGGGGAAACACTGTATCATGTATTTATTTTTGCCATGTATATACATGTCATGTTCTTATATGTTGTATGTGACGGGACTACGGATGGAAATGAGCTCAAAGCCGGCTCATTTACACAAGTGTTCATCAATGTGCACTGTGCCGGTTCAAATAAACGATTAAATAACTAAATAAATGCATGTCAAACTACAAATTAGGTGAAGGCAACTAACAGAACAGCTGGAATAGTCTAGTGCGTTTATAAATTGACAACACTTTACTGTAATGCAGCCTTTTAAACCAGGAAAAGACACTTATACTTAATTAAATATCAGAAATCCAACACAATATCTAGTCTCATTCCTTAATAGCGGTATCAAATGGATTGCCTAGCTCCATTTGGAACAAAACATAGGAAGGGAAGTTTTATTATTATTAATAATGTTCGATAAATAACGTGCTTACTACCACCACGTAACTACCACTACGGTTTTTGCACTACTAAATACTGTTCATATTTACATTCATTATGTGACCGTCTATGTTTCCTGTAGTTATTGAATTGCTCTTGTTACTGCACTGTTAGTGTACAGTTTTATTATTATTGTGCTGTGTTTATTGTATTTTTGTAGTTCTGGCACAACAATTTCCTTATGGATGAATAAAGTCCTATCTTATTTTATCGGTATAATATTGATTGGCTAGCCCTAATTGGAAGAAAACATAGGAAGTTCTCATGTTAAGGATACAGCTGTGACCCAGAACCCAGGGATGGTCTTTGTGATGGAGCTGCGCTGATCCAGATGTGGACGCCGCTGACGGCTGATCTTCAGCTCCAGCCGTTGATGAAGACGAGCGTTCTTCTTCTCCAGAGCCTCCAGTCTCATCTGCACCTGCGCCAGGAGGGCCACCGACTGCCTCATCTCCGGGGCCATCTTCACCGACACGATGGCACACTCCCCGTCCTCATTGTCCTCATTGTCAGACGGGAAAGAAGAGCTTGGTGTGGACGAGGATCCAGACATGGATTCATCTCCTTCGTCTGCTCCGGGCATCTCGTCTCCATCCTCCCTATCGGTGCTGTGGACGGATGTGGAGCTGTCTGCTGCCGCTGCCTGCGTTCTGGAGCCTGTTTTTGAGGACTGGTGGTGGTGGTGGTGACTCCCACGCTGTTTGAACTTGCTCCCCTGTTTCACCTGTTTAGCCTTTTCTGAGGAGCAAGGAGTCTCTCGGCTGTCTTCCCCGTCTCCTCTTGTGAGACTGGCAAGAGCTTCAGCCGCTGCAATGGCTGCAGAGTCGGTCTGATCCAGAGAGGCTGAGGGTCCCAGCTTTGCCCCTGCTGTTTTCTGTGTGTTTTCCTTAGATTCAGCAGAGCCTTCTGCATCTGAGGACTGTGGCTTTTCTGTGTTGCTTGCCTTAGGGCTGCTAGTCTTGGGGTTGTTGACAGGTGGTGCACAGGGGTCCTCTGAACTCTGCAGACCCTCAGCTGGTTTTCCCTCGCTCTCCTTTAACTGGTCCTCCTTCCTGGCTGTTTCTTCCCCATCTGCTTCACTGTTTTTGCAACTTTCCGAAGTGGCCCCCGCTTCCTCTAATGTCTCCCTGACTTTTGGGCACTTGCTGGGCACCTCGCTGCCTCCATCGGGCTCCAAACGCCGTTTCCTGGACGCAGAGTCAGCGGACTGTTTGGAATCAGTCACTTCACTCATGCTTACCAGCTAGTCGAAGAGCTACCAAGCTAGGTAGCCTGCAAGCACAACTAAAAACAAACTTATTAATCAAATCGTGTGCACCACTGAACTTGTGCTCCGTAGGTAACAGCTGTGGTGTTATAACTCGGATCGTAGAGTAACCTACATCCTTCAGAACAGGAAGCTTGTTGTTTTTATCAGCGGCCTTGTGGTGAATTAGCAGGCTAATGCTAACTAGCTTACGTTACCCAATTCGTGTGTCCTCGCATCGATGTTCGCTCCACATTTTCACGAATATAAGTCCAACAGGAAAAACTCGGTCCACATTAACAACCCTTCCCGTGCCGTGCCGTCTTTAGAAACAAACCCGCGTTGTTTTTGTTAGTTTGTGTTTGCAATATCCGTTAGCCTACTATCCGTGCAACGACGTGACAGAAAAACAATCCTCTGATTGGCTGTAGGACGCCGCGCTAAAATGTCTCAGCCAATCAGCGACAAGGGTGTGTTTACACGGTGATAACTGTAGCAGCGGTTTAACTGCGCAACAGCAAGAGCAGCCAGAATGAGACCTAATCCTAACATGAATTAGTACAAAAACATATGTATAAATCTATATATAGCATTACACTATATGATGGAAGCTATCAAGCCATAAAGCTATATGATTGAAGACACCAGAATTAAATTGTACATTTTGTACTCAAACTGTGCCTCAGTGCATTCAAAACGTAGAGAAAACCCCTGCATTTTGCACCCTTATAATGTATGTAAAGTATATTTTGTTTATATTTTTTGCTTTAGTAATACGTTGGTCTATTACAGTGCATTCTTAGCTATTCTTTATATATTTTTTTCTTATATTTTCTATAGATACAGTATCTTTATTTATCTTTCTAGATATATTGGCTATATATTTACTGTTTGTATATTTTAATTACGTTGCAGTTGCTCCCATTTTACAATAGAAATATATACAAAGATAAATATTTAAAATACAATTAAGATATAAGTATATTAAAATATGTACATTGTACTACAATATATAAAATGAATAATGATAGAAAAACATACATATAAGCTATTACAATACTAAACTCCAATAGAAATGAAAGGGAAATAGAAATAATAAATCTGTAAAAATGTGTATTTATATTTAATGTTTTTTTTTGCCTACAAATCAGGAATATTTTAGAAATCGATTAAGATTAAATTATGCTAATAAATCCTGTTTGTTTGTCACCCTGCAACCAGCAAATAGCCTATATATTGCCTTTATATTAATAATTAAATGTGTTTTTTGAGATTCTAAATAACCTATTAATCCTTTCCACCTGAAGATGTCTGCAGATGTTTTATTATAATGCTATATCATTTTAAAATGGTGTCATACCTGAGAAAGGCTTATGATTGGCTGATATAATTTTACTTTTATATCCTATTTCCAGTAGTGGGCGTTCATCCAGCCTAAACCAAAACAGAAGAGGGGGGAGTCACAGGATTATACCATCTCTAAACACATACACATTTGGGGCATGGAGAGCTCTGTAGGTCAGCGCTAAAATTAGAAGCTTCTCCTTCCGCGACAGCAGCCAAACTGCGGTGCATAAAGTCATGTAAACCGGGGGATACTCTATCACAAGGGCTGGCAGCAAACACATGTTTCCATGGGTGACATTTAACGCTGGGACTAGAGAGGCTCCGTGCGTAACAGGAACAGCACTGGATCTACTGCTGCGCAAATAATGAGCATTTGGTAGTGATTTTTTATTTTTTTGGAGACGCCATATGTACACAGCTTCCATGAGTGTCTGCAGAAATGTCTTTTTTATCCATACCAAGCCAGGAGGGCCTTTTCACCACCATTAAAATCGACAAATCCGCCGTGAACGCAGAGAGAAACTGCATGGACGACGATGACGATGATGAAGACGATGACAGCGAAAACGTGCGCCTCATCCCCAGATGCTCCCCGGTGCCCAGGAAGAGAGGCCACTCAATTTACGATGAAACCGCAGAGTATTTACGCATTCAATTGGCGCTGTCCGTGCGCAAGAAGGTGCAATTCGCCGACTCAACAGGTGGGGATCTGGTGGATGTGAAGGAATTTGTTGCCTTTGACTCGGACAGTGAAGAGGAGAGCGCACGGTGGGAGGAAGAGGAGGCAAAGTATAGGAAGCCGCAGAGGGAGCCCACTTATCATGTGCACCCAGAGTTCAGTGCGCCTAGCGGGGGGTCCCTGCTGCAGGCTGTGCACGTCAGCAAAGTGGAAGTGGAGCAGATTTCCCCAGCAGAGGATGAGCCTCTTGCTTTCAGTGGGCTGGTCAGGGTCCTGAACGTGTCCTTCCACAAAGCAGTGTACATCAGATCCACCATGGACAGCTGGGTGTCCTACTTTGATCACCCTGCAGAGTATGTGCAGGGCTCTAATGATGGGAACACTGACCAGTTCTCCTTCAAGCTGTCCTTTGCACCTCCTTACATCACTCACGGCTCTCGCATTGAGTTTGTTGTGCGCTATGAGACCTCTGATGGAGACTACTGGGCCAATAACTCCCAGATGAACTATGTGGTGACTCTGCTCCTGTCCTATGAAGATGAGTTGGCTCAGAAACACACCGACATGCAGCAGTCAAGAGGTATCCTCAAACCTCCAAAAGCCTACAGGTAAATCTGCTGTCACAAGTGTGCTTTAATCCCACAAACACAGACCAAAGAAGGCTCATTTTACAGAATGTGTGTGCAGTATTTGGGCCTTGACCTCTGATCTCCACAGATTGGTCCGTTGTAAAGTGCCCAAATGCTAAAATAGGCAATCAAACGCACAACAACTTCAGAGTTATAACACTTTTAGACCCATAAATCTAATAAAAAGCACTGATTTTGTAACAGGCTCCATTTTAGATGAGTGAAAGGCCACACACTTGTTTTGTCTCCTCGTAATTCCCCTGAATATCCAATTTCAAACACAAAAATCAATTTCTTATCAGCCGGGCATTGATTTGATCAACGTTAGTCATCAAAACACCTTTTTCAACCTTGTGTGAACACTAAGAATACACTTTTCTCTTCGATATAAGTTCCATATTTGGTTTAGTTTGGGTTATGTTTGTCAATTTCAACCGATACAACTCAAATGCAAAAATATAAAATGAACAATAATAAGTCATTATTTGACATATTGTCAATCCAAAGCTAATTTACACTGATCAAAAAACATGAAAACGTATCTTATTACAACTACCCTTTGTGCATCAATCATTTTTACAATTGTCATTACATATTTACACTGAAATAGTGCATCTATGCCTTAAAAGCATGCAGTGAAACGTCACAAAGCACCTGACCTCAGAGCAGCTGCAGGATCCTGTTGCTGACTAACTCCTGGGGGTTTTGAAACTGAAATGAGCATTCAGCTTTATTCAGGAGATCTGCCTGGAGACTGCATTCAAGACGAGTGGGATCTCAACAAAACACACTTACACATCATCATATTCAGAATCAGAAATCCTTTATTCGTCCCAGCAGTTAGCGGCAAAGACACAGTGCAAATCAAAGGTAGAAAGGCTGTCATGAAATCAGATGTCCACAACATGATTATCCAAAAGAATTAAGGATAACGAGATATCTAGAGAACATCAAAAGAGCAACACTGCCATCTATCAAAGTCATCTTCAATTTAGTGTTTAGTCTCTTGTCAATGGGCGTCTGTGACTTTACAAAAGCATTAAAAAAGAACATTTATACTAATGGATGATTAGATTTAAGAAGATTATTTACAACATGTTATGTGTTTTATCAGTGTTGAAAGTACATTTACTCAAGTATTGTACTTCATTACTATTTTGACATATTTGTACTTACATATTCCCATTTTAGGCTACATATACTTCTACTATACAACATTTTGGAGGTAAATATTGTACTTTTAACTCCACTACATGTTTTTAAAACTCATTGTTGCTGGTTAATTCTTACATATACATACCATCATATGCTTACAGTATATGATACTGTACTGTACCATGAACCTACCCAGTAACTAACATTGGCTCAACTTTGACAAACTACAACATGATAGATGACGCAACATGTATTTTGTGATATAAAACACAATAATAATATTCCATTTCACTCAAATACTGTGAAAGGAGCCAGTCTGCAAACTGAGTACTTTAACTTGTTATACTTGAAGCACAATGGTCTTACTTTTACTTAAAGGTGGGGTAGGTACGTTTTGAGAAACCGGCTAGAGATACACTTTTTGTTATATTCCATGGAATGCTCTTAACATCCCGATAGCAATGAATATCTTAAGTGCTTTGACAAAAAATCCATAACAAATGTCATCTGTGGAAGCCGTAGTACTAAAAAAAGCACGACCAATCATCTGAGCCGGCCCGGCTAAAGTAACTGGATGGCCTACCTGCCTGTCAGCCTTCCATCTGTGCACAAACTTATCTCGTGCCCTCATTGGTCATGTGCACGTTCGTGTGTGTTGGAGGAGGGGCTCTGTAAGGAAGTGGCAGATTTTTTCCGGCTGTGTATTTTCAAATTCTAGCGATCTCGAGCCGGTTTCTCCAAAATTACATACCCCACCTTTAAGTTACATGTTCAACACCGGACTTTTTAAGACCATAGTATTTCTATTTTTACTTAAGTTAAAGATCTACTTAATAATAAGATAAGATAATATAAAAGGTACTTTATTGATCCCAAATTGGCAAATGTTTGCGTTGCAGCAGCATAAAACACAACAAAACAAAACAAGGCATTGCACATATGTAGAAATTAAAGAGTAGAAATAAACAATAGTAGAATTTAAACATCTCAAAATAGAATTAAATCCACATTAAGAAGTAGAAAATGTACAGTAGACCGTGAAGATTACAAATCTATAAACTTCTTCTATCGCTGAGTTTAATTGCACCATGGGTTTATTATTAACACGATATCAATGCTATATTTTCCACGTATCAAATGTACGGAGTGAATTTATGGCCGGTGTTTGAGCGTCCGCAGAGAGAGGGGCTTTTGGAGCGAGTTCACTCACAGAATGCCAATCATCCAGTGGTGTGTGAGGAGATGAAAATAGGCGAAGGGCAGGTGTCGTTTTCAGGCTGGCGCTCCCCGACATTCACTCTACCTCTGACCTTTCTCTCAGAGTCCTGGAGGAGCACTGATGACTGGTTCCCCTCAGGAGGGGTGCTGCTTTTACTTTACTGCGTTTAAATCACCCTGAGAGGAGGGGAATTAAACGCTTTGTTTATTGTCACGTCAACATGAAAGTTTAATTAGCAGAGTAAGGGTACTTTGAAAGGTACCAACCACTTCACACTACAGCGAAGCCAACTCAGGGAGACATATCGTTTGGTTGAGTAAACATCTCCTCAGAAGAAGTACTTCAAACTACTTTGAAATCTAATTGAAAATGCACAGGTGATACCAAAACACAACAGCAAAAGGCTCATGCCATCAAATAATGTGACTCAATTGAGTTTATTTAAAAAAAGGCAAGCTTTTCACAGGCCAGGCATTACAATAATATGCTTAGTTTATTGTTATATCAACATGAAAGTGTGTTAAACATCTCATAATGCACAGAGACAGCAGGAAGTCCCACAGGCTTATGAGGACAAATGGATGAATACGTATAGTTTTAAGAATAAATACTACATTGAAAAGTTAGTACATAAAAGGCATGGCATTCAAAATCTCACTTCAGTAAAAGTACAAAAGTATTAGCATGAAAAGAAACTTAAAAAACAAAAGAGATATAATTAATTAGACAAAATGGCCTATTACAGAATAATAGATTATAGTATTTAATTATAATGATGCAGTAACGTGCTCACCACTTCACTGTTCACTTTATAATGGTGGAGTCTATTTTAATTACTTGATATACTGATGGGTAGCTTAACCTACTGTATATTATCATAACCTATTTATATTAGTTTAGTTTGTTGCACTACTACATAATGAGTCGTTTTATTTGTATAACTTTTTTTGTTATGTACATATATGGCTGATAATACTTCAGTACAATGTGAAAGCTAACCCTAACCCTAACTTGGACTTTGTTTAATAATGGTTGAAAACACTTTGTAGGTTTCTTTGGATAAAACATCAGCTGAATGCAATGAAACATACTTTTACTTTAGTGGCATTTTAAACTCAGGACTTTCACCGCTAATGGACTATTTCCAGACTGTGGTATCACTACTTTTATTGAAGTTAAGAATCTAAGTGCTTCTGCAGAGTGATAGTTATGGAGGGGGGGAGGCAGTGATTGAATGGGGGGAGATGTGAGAGATGAGGGAGACAGGGGGGGGCAGGATATGTGGCGGCGTTACAGATTCATTAGCTGCTTTGATGTTCACTGATAATTAGATTTGAACACATTAACAAAGCAGCCGGTGGGAGGAAGGTGACGGTGGGATGAAACACGTCTAGACATTAGAATATTTTACCAACAGCACACTAATATGAATCACACTGACAGTACGTTCACTGTATATTTTAGTCAAGTCTATCCATATGAAAGTGGCTCTGGATAACAAACCCATTAGTGTCCACAACAGGAACCTTGATATTCTTTTTTACAAGATAAGATACTTTATTGATCCCAATTTGGGAAATGTTTGCGTGGCAGCAGCATAAAAAGACAACGCATTGTACATTAGAGAAATTAAAAGAAATAAACAATCGAAAAAATATAAACCTCTCAAATATAAATAGCATCAAAAAGGTAGACAATATACATGTTGAAATACAAACATGGTGGAAGCGGAGCACAAATATGAAGACATTTCTACATACTGAATATAGTCTTTAGACAACAATGCATAGTATCTGATGGTGCAAAGTTAAACCTGAGCAGGCTGTGTTTCTGTTTCAGTATCACTTGTGTTTGTCCATGAGTTTGGCCTCAGTGTTAGACGTTGTTTTGCATCAACTCGCTGTGGAGTGTTGCAACGTGACCCGGGGTTTCATCTCCAGATCAGACTCAGGCAAAAGTACACATTAGTAGAGCCACAGAGATACAGCAAGCTACTACTTCACACTACAGCAAAGATTCCTCAGGGAGAAATCTAGTTTGGTTAACTAACGCTCCTTGGATAAAGTATTTCAAACTACTTTTTTGTGTATTCAAAATCGAATTGACAATGCACATGTGATACCAAAACAACAAAACAAGTCTCATTTCAGCAAATAAAGTCACTCAGTTGAGTGTATTTAAAAAAAAGTGACAGCTTTTCACAGGTCAGGCATGAACTCCCCACTAATAACATATTTAACCTCCACCTTTTTGGACCGATTGACCGACCTGAGCACTGGTCAAAAGAAAAGCAACGGACATATCATTTGACTTTTCAGAGAAGAATTAAAATATGTTAAAGTACAGTAGAGTAAGGGGTTAAATAAAGAATAAGAGGCACTCTAATCTGCCCATTGGAGAGCAGAAGTTGTTTATCTCTGAGTCAGATCAGATGGTGGCTGCAGGTCTGAGCATGCTTTTGTTGTGAGTTGCTTGCAAAGGGTGTGCCTTTAACAATTATCTTCTTACAGAATTTGGAGCTGATTATATGGATCAGTCTAAGTTTAGATCAGTATAAATCTCACAGGCTGCTGAGCCAAGTCGTACAGCGAGAAACTTGTTGCAAAAAGGACAAATAATCTCTTATTATTGTAATGATTGTTGACGAGACTGTGCTTTCCATATCAGAGCTTCAACACTTCAATAGCTTAAGGCGAGACACGGCAGGCAAAAACATCGTTTTTCATGCACTGGTCAGATTTTGTGCTATTTTGATTCCATAACATGTTTTCTTTCAGGCTTTTTGAAGGAAAACGTACAAAATACACATTTAGGTGTTTATTTGACTATAGTTTGTCTATTTGCGTCTGTAGATTTCTCCATATATATGTAGATTTTCTCAATATTCTGAAGGCTTTTACAGAAGGGTTTGTTCCTATATCATTCATAGCCTGAATTATATAACATTTTATACCTAAAAACATGGCGAAAATTGATATTTTAGGGCTGCTGACAGTATTTTCTGATTTATGAAGTGATAAAAAGAGATATCCAAAATCTCTTCTGTAAAAACTTTAGATTCTAATATGACTACAAAATGAAACAAGAATTTTGAACCTGGCTTTATACAATGTTCAGATTTGTGTTCCTGAAATGTGTTCAAATATGCGCATATTTAATGAGATTATGGCTCATTTGCATATTTAAACATGCTATTTCAGAAAACGTGTAATACAAAAAACATTTGTCTTAATGTAAGTAATTAACTGGAGAAATGTCAAGCTGATATCTTTAAGTTAAAAAAATTACCCTATTCACCTGTAGTGTCTCGCCTTAACATTGAATGACTTAGCATCAGCAGGCGCTATGATGCAAAGAGTAAGAAGATCTGGTCAGGTCATTTGTCGGCTCCTGTCACACGCTCATCACACTGATGACCTTTAGCTCTTTTGGCATCCGTTGCAAGACACTTGGAAATGTTGCACCCCCAACCTGTCAGCACAACTTACAACTTATAGAAATATATTCCTGCAGGTGATTTCAAAGCAAGACATACGGGCAAACATATTGTTTTTATTGCAGGTTTTGGGCTATTTTGCTTCCATAACAAGTGTAGCGACAGCATGAAACAAAGAAAGTCGCTGAGAGGCTGAGGCCTGTTTGCTATTGTATGACACGCTATCAAAAAAGTACTTGCTGAGATCAAAACTGCAGTGAATAATAATGTAGTTTAATGAAAAATGAGATGATCAACTTATTTTAACGTAGACATACGCATTGTAATGATAATCAAAGCAATCCTAAAGTTTGCGGTCAACAAAAAATACAACGACCCTGTGTCACCCTCTCTTCCACACACATGCACACGCACGCACACACACACACACACACACGCACGCACGCACGCACGCACGCACACACACACACACACACACACACAGATTTCTCCAAAATGCATTGAAAGATAGCATTACATTTCACCTCATTTGCATATTCACGCATAATATTTTCAGAAAACTTGTAATATAATAATCAATTGTCTTAATGTCAATAATGACATGGGGAAGTTTCATGATGATATCTGTTAGTTACATGTTTGACCCTATTCACCTGTAGTGTGTACAACATGTGTGCATTTCACAATACAATTCACAGTCTGCTCTGATTGGTTAGCTGGCCGGCTCTGTTGTGATTGGTCAACCTGCTTAGAGATGTCCCGCCCCTTAGCCTATCACGTACAATGTGTTGGAGCGCTAATAGAAGCGTGAGTGTTTCGTAGTGATGTCACTATGTTCAGGAAGTAAACAAAGGACTACAATGGAGGCGATTTGCAGACCATTAACATGCACACAAACCTATGTAACACACTATAGGAAAGGGAATAAGGCCTCTTTAATTATATACATTTGCATTATTAAACATAACAATACAGAAAACTAGTCTTACAACACACATTATAATTAAAAGTAATTCATCTGGGGAAGTTTCATGTTGATATCCATTAGGTAAATGTACCACAATTAGATCAGATGCATTACCTTTAATATAGAAACATGACTTAATGGCTGATCCTGTGTGTGCACTTTACGATGACCCTCAGTGCACATTTCCTCGCTCACTCATTTCCCACCTCGTTGTCTATTTTAACAAACACTCTAATGAGAAGTGTCATCGCAGAGGCATCTGGCAATAAAACACCGAGCGGCAGTACAGTACATGGCGTACAAAACGTACAGTACAGTACAAAGAGATAACACACCACCATTATCTATTTGAAAAGGCTCATTCAGCACATTAACAGCCAAACTGCATCAGCAAATATTGAGACTAATTATCCGTAACAGGTGTTGATGACGGTGTGTGACCACCTGCTCGGCCATTTCAAATGTGGAGGTGCTGCTCTTTGTTTTAGATATGGACTCTGCATTTATCAGATGATTCAGACGCTGCTTTTGTTACATCACATCACATTACATTACATTACATGTCACATGTTAGACGCTTTTATCCAAAGCGACTTACATACTCAATACTGTGGACAATCCCCACAGGAGCAATTTGGGGTGAAGTGTCTTGCCCAGGGACACAACGACATGCTGACTGCAGTGGGACTCGAACTTGCTATCCTCTGATTCGAAGATCAGCACACTAACCCACTGAGCCACAGCCTTCCCGTTGTTGCCAAAGATGAGTCGAAAATACAAAACTAAGTGTACGATTTGGCTCTTAGGTTTTGTAAATAATATTTAGTCTTTATAATACTTATCAGTGCAGAACTATTATGTAGGAGAGAAAATCCTATGGCTTACTGCAGCGCTTTTTATCAGTTTTGCCCTACTTAGCAACCTAGTAAATAAAAAACACCTAAATGCTTAATTTTTAAGTATTTAGAATCAACCACTAAATTCATGGCAAACTAATGCAATAAAACTACGACATATGTGACAATTAAGCTTATTTTTTACTTCTTTCTCCGTGTCTAAAGCTGAGTTGATGCGTTGTCTTTCACCCACATATCCTTTTTAAATAATGTCTGTCTCACATATTTTTATTCTATTAACATCAAATTGGATTCCTGCTCACACTTAACACAATTAATCGTGATTGTGGTTAATGCTGCAGTTAACAGTTTATGGCTTTTAACAATTACATTATACTACAAAGAACTCAAATCAGCATCAGCCAACGTTCCTGTATACGTACACTGTCTAAAGAAAATACATATACACTCTGCGTTTAAAAGCACAACTACCATTAGGCCATATGAGGTTCTTTAGGACTACATTTGTGTTTTAGAGAGGGTACTATTGGGTTTGTTAAGACGTCTGAATACCTTGTGTTTTTAACGCATGTCTCTTTTTCTTTCAGTATGGAGGATCCATTCGATTCAGAGGAGGAGCAGGATAAAGACGAAGGTACTGTCATCCCAAATATCCGTCTTGATTTGTCGAAATAACAAGACATAAATGAATAAATATTAATATAATAGATATTCGTATATCATGGTATATGATTGAAGCAGGAATCCGCAAGTATTGCACTTAAAAAAGACAGGTCAAAGATATTGTAGTAATGACAGCATAATTAATACTTGTAGTGGCCAGTATGTAATGAAGGGTTTCCAGATACCACCCTGGTTTCAGAAATGCCTCCGATACAGCCTATAATATGCACTATGCACTGGTTATATATCATGTTTTAAAATAGGCAATACTTCCATCATCAGCTACTAACCGTTTCCGAAATCAATGATGGGATCAAATAACATCCATACAGGGCGTACTGTAGCTGCTTAACAAATACATCATATATGTATGTGTTTATCATTCTGGTAGATATGGTCTTCATATCCACCAATCCACAAGTTTCAGGAAAATGTTTTATCTGAACATCTCTGAAGTGATGCAGCCTTTCTTTAAATAGGATTAAAGTCTTAAACCTAAGATCCTGATCCGACGCACTGAAGACATGACGTACACGTTTTCATCTGTGGAGTGCCCCTTTAATGACTCACACACTGCGGACTAATCAGCCTCTCAGTGTGTGATTATCTGTTTTCCATCAGCAGAAGAAGCAGGGTCCTCCAGGTCAGCTCTGAACAGACCCCCACCTCTCTGCCCGGTCATCATACAGCCTGAGATCGACATCGAGGTGCGTGTAAAGAAAATATCTGCGTTAAAGGAAGTACATGGGGTGTCCAAACTACGGCCCGGGGGCCAAATGCGGCCCGCGGACCATTTTGAATCAGCCCTCAGCAAATTTTAAAAGTGTAATGAAATATGGCCAACAAATTAAACATCTGCTATTGTACTTCTTAAAGGTCCCCTATTATACTGTTTTTCATCAATATATTACAGGTCTCAGATATATACAGAACCTGTCTCTGATTGGCTGAAACACCGAACAGTTCATTGCAGCATCCCATAATCCCCTCTGTTTCAGCCCTGTTTCAAAAGTGCTGATTCTCTGTCTGTTACTTTAGATGAAAATAAGGAGCCCCTCCCCACGCCCCTCTGAGAGAGATTTGGTTACAAAGAACACAATGGTGCTCTAGGAGGAGATTCAGGTGATAAGGTGGTTGGTGATTGGCTAATGGTTACACAAGCCAAAACATCGTTATGACATCATAAAGTGGCCAAAATCTGATCAGCTCATTTTCAGACAGGTTTTTATATAAATGGATCAGGACAAAAAGAGAGAGAATCTTTGTTCCTGAAACTTTCAGAGTCTCTTTACACAGAGGGGACACATGTTGATGAAGAAGAGACATGAAGAAGAGGGGACACATGTTGATGTAGAAGAGACATGAAGAAGAGGGGACACATGTTGATGTAGAAGAGACATGAAGAAGAGGGGACACATGTTGATGTAGAAGAGACATGAAAAAGAGGGGACACATGTTGATGTAGAAGAGACATGAAGAAGAGGGGACACATGTTGATGTAGAAGAGACATGAAGAAGTGGATTTTGCATAATAGGTGACCTTTAAATATATATGTTCAAATATATAACTCAGTATTCATGTGTTAATAAGCCACATTTTCAAATAAATTCAGTCCATTAAAGTAGGAAACATTTTCTAACACATCTTAGTTGATAAGAAAACAGCCCAATAACACATTTACATAGCAACCTTGAAATCTACCCTTCATATTTCCTCTTATTATCAGCAATCTGAGCCTCCTGTTTTAAGGGATGAGCTGCTAACACAATAAATGAAACCCTACGGAGAGCTGTGTGTTTTTCTCATCAATATCAACCATCATTTACCTACATTTGATTGATTTTTCTAACTTATAACTTATGAGGCAATATACCTCTAGTGAGCGGCCCAGCCCTTCGTATATTGTTCTGTATGTGGCCCTTGGTGAAAAAAGTTTGGACACCCCTGATGTGAATCAATGAACTGTCAATGACCTGCAGACATAGTCCCACCACACATTCATCAAACGACTTGTTGGGTTATATTCCAATTATCTTGATTTGCATGCCGTTGTTGACACTTTCATTTAACAGATAAGCAGGCCAAGTGCTTCATGCCTTTACGCCAGTCTAATAAAACATAACACACATTTCTGTTGGACTTTTAAAGCTCATCATCACTGGCTTTATATTGTTCACAGCTCATTGAAGCTTCGGCAACAACTTAGGTAAAGTCCCGCTTCTCCCCGCTGCAGCACGAAAACTGTATGTTGTTGGATTGATGTTGTGATGCATGATGTTGCACCCTTCAATCGTGTCCATGTTTAATTTGAACTCATGTCTCTTTCACTTTTAAGTGATACGGTACACTAATATAGATTTGCACCATGTGTAATGTGTGTTCAGAACTTTATTTGGGATGAATCCTACCATTAATGTGCTGTTTGTGTCAAGTGTTTGTATTGAAGCGATGGTACTGAAATGTCACTGAAACTCATTTTAGACCACATGCTGCTTTGCACAATCACTCTGACCCTGGTGATCTTCTTTAAGGAATAGTTAGATACAATAGACACATACCCTTCATCGCTTTCTTACTGAGGGTTACAGCATAAATATATATTTTCTTATTGCATCTTGTGTCTACATTTTTTGTATGTACAGTATGCTTGTATGCACGTACTAAAGGTGTTTAGAAAAGCACTTTATATATATTAAATGTATTGTTATTGTTATTATTATATTGAGTTTTAGCAAGGGACTCTTATGCAGGGTTTGAAAGTGTAGGCATTAACTGGTACTGAATAATTAACTGGATTATGTGTCAGACAATTTCTTGGCTGAGAAGAGAGACTTCCTGGACTAGTTAGTCTTTATGCTAAGCTAGGCTAACGTGTCCTGGCTGCAGCGTCATATTTAATTTTAAAAAAAAGCCGTGGGAGTGGTTGCAATCTTTTTTGAACTCTTGGCAAATAAGCACAGTTCCTAAACATGCTCCTATAAATTCAGAGATGCTCAATATGGTAGGAGATTTGTTGAAGAACTTCCTGGGGTATAACATAAACATTTTAAAGAAAAACAAGAATTGGTTTTGGTTCTGCTCCCTACACAAAGCACATCAGACTGGAAGACTTTTGTATTTTAGAAGAAAGGAAGTCACGGGCGGTTTGCAAAACACTGATTAACTACCTCAGATACTGCACAAACCACTGTTTGCATGAGCTCATCTTGTTCCTGTTAACGTTAACCATCAGTATTCACATGCATGTTGTTTCCCTTTGGTAGAGCAATAAAACATCAAATAAACCCGTCAAATACTGCGTCAACTTCCTCCAAATAGTTAATGTTTACCTTATTTGATACAGGTGCATTCAGAGGGAAAATACCTCATCAAGTTTTGTTAAATAACTCAAGTAAAGGCAGTAGAATTGCCAGGATAAAAGCACTCAGTTTGATTTCTCTTAAGCTTTTCAATAATTCGGTACTGTCATCAAATCTTTTCATAATAAATGAAAAGTGCTCTCATAGGAACAAATGGATTTAGTGTAAAATGATGAAGTGGAGGAACTAGAAGGTCACGCAGACAAGGCCGTTTCCATTAGTGAAAAAATAATGCCTTTAAATAAAACCTTGGCCAAAAGAAAAGCAAACCGAAAACACAAGCTCTTTAGCGCAGGTGAAATAGCAGAACACAAAATTACACATCGCTTAGCCCTGATGTTATTTGTCCTGTTTGTGTCTTAGTCTTGCACTTTTTCTTGTAATTGGTGTTCATTTAGTTTTCAGTCTTTTGGTTTTATAATCGTCCTGGTTTTATCATGATTTGACTATTTGTCACAGCAAGCTCACAGCAGGCAAAGCTCTATGTTATGAGCCAGTTTCCTTTAAAAAGTCAAGTGAAAATGGAAAATAAAAGGGTCTTTCGGGGAGGACAGAAGTCTCTTAAAGGTACAGTTCAACCTACAATCCAATCACTTTGTTTTGAGTAGTTTTACTTAGGAACTATTTTCTCTCTATACCAAACTTCATCCACCAAATGTATCACCGGGCAGAAAGAAGAATGCCATTATTGCTTAGAGCTCCCGCTGACTCGATCCTCTCTGCAATGAGTAAATGCATCTTACTTCTGCTGGAAGGAAATGAGTTTTACCATAAAATGACTCATAACAACGTCTCCGAATTGTCTTGAGTAGCCAGGTCATGATTTCCTTGTAAACTTCCTTTTTAACAAGAAGTCAAAACAATAACCCTTTTTTGCTAATAATATAAAACAGAGAGATGCATCCAATCCCATCACACTGCGCCTGTTTTGTTTGCAATGCCTCACTATTAAGTTGTCAGCATGGGATCCATTTGACAGAAAAGCATTAGTATGCAGTAAAATGCTTTTCCTCTCTCTGTGTGCAATGTTAATGTGGAATACAAATCTCTCCCCTTTGTCTTTATAGCTGTCACTGTTGTCTCGCTCTTTTACTTTAACAGATTGCGGTTCACCCATCTGCTCCCGGTGTCCCACCCACCCAAGAGCATCCATCTGCTGATGGCTCACTGTCCGCTCTCACTGTATCCCCAGGTGAACTATTCCCGTGTATGTCTTCCGAAACCACACTTCAAACTAATTCATCCTTTGTACTCCAGCCAAATAAGTCACAGCCTTTACCCAGACTCCACTGTGAATTAGGCAACCAAACGTCAGAGCAGCCCATAGACGGAGGTCCCTGTGCACTACTGCCTGATTCAAATCCCTCTGCGAAACAAGAGTCAAGTCCGAGATCACACAGCTCCCAGGCTTCCTCTCCCTCTGAGGCCTCATGCATGCATCCTCCTGCCGTGGAGATGAATCTGTGGGAAGCACCAGGAGAGGACGAGTCAACCGACAGCACGGTTGATCGTCCTTGTCTTGAACTGCCTCCAGAATGTGTCTCTGCTCCCAGTGCGACCCAGCAGGAGGTTGCAGTGGGAATTAGTGAACTTTCTGCAGGGGGTTACACCAGATCTGCAGAAAATCACGAAGCTAGCACGACCGAAATCGTGTCTCCTGAGGCAGAAAGTGAGGAATCTCTGAGAGAAGCAGAAGGTGAAGATCCACCATCGCCTGAACTCTCAGAGGCTTTTCAGTCGGCCTGGGAAGAGATGGAAGATGCTCCCGAGACTTCCCCTGACGCATTATTAGAGAATCCACCAAACACAGAGGTTCCCAAGCTTCATACTGAGCATGACGCTAACATAAATCTGATGCCGTCCGTCATCTTTCTGAGTGGAGTTGTCACCCTCTCCATAGTGTTGCAGGAACCCACCGCCCTGTTCATCATCGGGCTGCTTCTGATCCTGCATCAGTTTTAATTATGCCCCCAAAGTTCGTTCTCACGTTAAAGTGCCTTTTCGTGATTCCACAAAAGCCAACAAGTAAAAATAAATCACACACAAGTCTGTCGTTGAAGTTGTTGTGTATCACTGTGTGAGTTTTTAGATAAGTATACGTTTTCATGAAATGAAAGGGTACAATTTATGAGTGTTTCTTCAGTGTTTCCAAAGTATAATACAAGGAGGAAGTAATTACACAGACATCGGTCATACTTTTGGTGATATTTATGTGAAACAAGTGGTAAGTAATACAATAGTAGTCAATTATAACCCCATTTCTACAACACTAAGGGCGCGTTCACACCTTTATACAGTCTGTTTCACTCCTAAAGGTCCAGCTCCTGGTACAAAAGGAAAGCTCAAAAAGCCAGAAAATGTAAACAAGTCTTGATAGAAATGTTGTTCAATTATTGGTTATAAAGTTGGCTCCTCGCCGCGTATGAGGTTCTCTCCTTTTTGCCGATTTAGCAATAAATTGTAAAATATTACTAATGTAGCGGCTGGCTAGTTAGCTAGCTAAACAGCTCATTCTTGCTCTAATGCAATACTTGAAACTTGAACAATTATCCTAACAAAGTGGCTTCACAATTGGCTATGGCATGGTGCTTTGCTGCGCTGTGAAAAGTTTGTCGGTGAAATATTAAGTTGTTAAATGTTGGCGCTTTAATTACTTAGCGGATGGCTAGTTAGTTAGCTAGCTTTCTATTTCAAGCATGCTTATATGTCTGGTTACAGAAAATGAGCCATATGAGAGGCAAATGATGTGCAACCAAAGGGTGTGAATTAATAATGAAGTTGTTCAACTTTAGTCATTCAGCAACTGGCTAGTTAGCTAGCTCGGCTGCTAATTCCCCCATGCTTTAATGCTACGCTGGTTAGCCTACAGAATATAAGCGGAACATCGGCTAGGAGACTTCATAGCTGTGAGGGGGGAGGTTGTAGCTAGCAAATGTTTGTGTCTTTTGTGATCTTATAAACAGTAAATTCATGTGCTGGTAAACCCACACAACTGGGTCACTACTTCCCCAGTCACTATAACAGAAGAAAAAAAACCTGTAGCCTACGCTTCCTGTTATTGTTTCAGTAAGAGAATCCGGTGTTCACACTAATCCAAATCAATAGCAGGAAGATAAAGGCTTCGGTTAAACTAGACCAGGGGTGTCAAACTCAATTTCATCGCGGGCCACATTCGCATTATGGTTGCACTCAAAGGGCCGGTTGTTACTTTAAGACTATATACAAATGCATATATAAATATTGAATATACAGTATATAAAATAATGTATTATATTACATTATTGCCACTGCATTGGATTATTATCGGATAGGGTAATAACTTCATAATTAACTACGTCTGAAAGCAGAAGTCTAGGGCAAATAATTGCAAGTCTCTTCAGTGAGAATGTCACAAAATGATTTAAAAGAAAAGCCAAATTCTGGAAAAAAAATGTGAGATGCATTGTGCTAAACGTATGGGCAACGTGCTTCTGTAACTCGCCCTGTAACCGTATAATAAACATATTATATTCTTTCAGAGCTCTTGTGGGCCACATGAAATGAAGTCGCGGGCCGGATTTGGCCCCCGGGCCTTGAGTTTGACACCCCTGAACTAGACCAAGGCTGGTGTGAACCATATACTTTATATATAAAGGTGTGAACGCACCCTAACACTAAAGCACATTATATTATCATAGGTGTTTTGTAATGTGTCTGTAGTGTAGCGTTATATATGGATTCATTAATCTGTCCTGTAATGCACTTGTTTCTTCTTCTTTGTTGTTGTTAGCGTAGTTTAGGTTGTTGTCTAACCCGACTGCCATGATAACTTTTGTGAATTCCATGTGTTGTTTTGTCTTTAATGAAGGACAACAAATCTTACTGCAGTGGGAAGACATTTGTTTTACAAAATACATTTGAAAAAATCTGGTTATGTGAATTATGTGTTGCCTTAATGCCTAAATCAAACTGACCTGCAGTGAACATCTGTTTGAAATGAATGCTGCCCGAGGGAAAATGTGGAATATTGTTTAGTGTCACATGTGAAAGTGATATTTTTGTATCATTAGTAAACGATCACAAATGCACATTTTGTTTGATGAGTCTTCCTCTTGGATCGAGCAAGTAGGGGTGGGAATCCCAAGAAAACCAAAAGTACAATATTATCACAATACTAAAAGATATGAGTATTGTGATAACACATAACAAATCAGATCAGTAGATTGCGATGTATTACCTTTTTCAACTGCACATTTTGCAGTTTGTCATAATCTGAGATTGATTTTTGCACATTTTAGATTCTTACTCGCCAAAGTCTCCATCTTTGTTTTGACTCATTTCAAGCCGTGAAAACACTTTATGCACTTTCTAGTGGACTTTAAAAAAGCAATTGTTACCAAACTATTCTATTTTCTATATTCATTATTCATATAGCAAAAGACTAGTACATGGCGACCATGTTTAAAAATCACATAGCGATATGCTGTATGTTATCTTCCCACCCCTACTTGCTATCTATCCCATATTGTTGTTGTTGTTGTTGTTGTTGTTATAACAGAAATATATTGAAATATTACAGCACTACTTTGACAACCTCACAGTCTGAGGCACTGAATGACATTTGAAGTGATGAACGTTTTTGCAGAGTATTGCCATTAAACGTGGTTCTATATCCTGTCAACTCTGTGTCATTCCTTTATCCTTTCATCCACTCTATATACTCTATAATTAAAGTGTGCATGACAGTTGCATGCACAGTAATGACACTGCACTGGTGAAAGACTGACACAAAAATAACGCAGAGCCTTTAGTGCCTTCGGTCTCCGGAGCGCGCTCAGCTTTGCTTGAAGTGGAAATAAACAGACGGCAACATGAGCTGCAAAAAGAAGCCAAAGGTCACGCATTGCACTGGAGTCACGGTGTCATGCTAGAGAGCACACAGGCCATTGTAAACTGAGCTCAGTGCTGCAAAGCTCTCAGGAAACCTCCTCAGGTGCTTCATGATGAGACGTGACACACTCATTCTGATTATAGTCACACGCTAATAAGACATCATCTTTATTTTTAAACATGGGAGCCTTGAGGTGTTAAAAACGACATCAGTGTTTTCCTGCTAAATCAATCCGTGTTAACTTCAAAGCCACAGACGTCCTTGGATGTCAGGTATCCTTTGGATTATGTGGATTATGTATTTGGCCTATAAACCAAATTATTAATCAGAGCACACTTGCACTTCTTAGACTTGTGCAGGGAAAAAGGGCGGGAGTGATTAATTTGTGTGATGGTCACATAGCTCGACTGTGGAATGTATTACAAATGTAAGCAGACTTAAACCTGACCCAAGAAGGATAATCAGTGCGATTCTACAACAGAGATTTGCTTTGAAATCATGAATGCCTTTTCAAGAGATATTCCACTGAAAGCTGTGTTGATCAGTTATTTGAAATAAAGGTTCAGTATGTGTTGTGACATTACTAGCAAATAGCAGTTTAACAGGGTATTTTGCTGCTCTTTTCTCATTGTGTGATATTACTGTGGGCCGATTTAATCTGTTCCAATGGAGAGTTTCCATCACAACAGCTTTTACCTAAATAACATCTTTGACAGAAAGAGAAAATAACACCCCTCCTTCAACATGTAATTGAACAAAAAATAATAATTGTATATTGGTGTTTATTGGCTTTATCTGAACAATGACAGCAATCATTTAGCTCAAAGTTGAGTGCCGTTAAGTACATTCCTCAAGACCGGAGAATCTGCTAATGTTGAAGTTCAACAAGTTAAAATTATCTTTTGAAAATGCTGAAAAAGGCTTTAAAAACATGTAATTTCAACCAATACTTAATGTAGGGCTGCTGCTCTCTCACACAGGCCATCTGGTCAGTGAACATCAGCATAAAGGGCAGATATCTTTGCCCCCAACACACTTCACCCTTGCATTGAAGAAGACTATAAACTATGAATTGAGACCATCAACTCATCAGGTAAATGTTTACAGAGGCAATATTTCAATTGAGAAGTAGGGTCATTTTCTCATAGACTTCTATATAATCAGACTTCTTTTTGAACTAGGAGTCACCCCCTGCTGGCCATTAGAAATATGACACATTTAAGGCACTTCCCCATTGGCTTAAAGAGGCCCTATTATACCGTATGGGGTTTTCTCTTGCTTGTAGTGATTTCTATAGGTTTTTGTGCACGTAAATGACCTGTAAAGGCTAAAATCCCTGTGTTTCCTCTAGAGGGAGTCCCCCCCCCCACCCCCACCCCCATGCCTAAAACATCGCCATTGGACTCTGTTTACATCGGTGACATCACTATGTAACACTCGTGCTACTATTGGGAAGCGCTCCAACACATTGCACATGTTTTGCTAAGGGGTGGGACTTCTCTAAGCAGTTGATCAACCACAACAGAGCCGGCCAGCTAACCAATCAGAGCAGACTGGGCTCTGGTTTCAGACAGAGGGTGAAAAGAGGTGCTGCAGCACAGACAGTATGAGAAAAATAAAGAGCTTTTTGAACATTAAAGCATGGAGACATGTCCCAGTAGAGACACTTACTGATATACACTTGAACATCAGCAGGAGAGGACTCTTTAAAGTAGAGACACTACATACTGATATACACCTGAACATCAGCAGGAGAGGACTCTTTAAAGTAGAGACACTACATACTGATATACACCTGAACATCAGCAGGAGAGGACTCTTTAAAGTAGAGACACTACATACTGATATACACCTGAACATCAGCAGGAGAGGACTCTTTAAAGTAGAGACACTACATACTGATATACACCTGAACATCAGCAGGAGAGGACTCTTTAAAGTAGAGACACTACATACTGATATACACCTGAACATCAGCAGGAGAGGACTCTTTAAAGTAGAGACACTACATACTGATATACACCTGAACATCAGCAGGAGAGGACTCTTTAAAGTAGAGACACTACATACTGATATACACCTGAACATCAGCAGGAGAGGACTCTTTAAAGTAGAGACACTACATACTGATATACACCTGAACATCAGCAGGAGAGGACTCTTTAAAGTAGAGACACTACATACTGATATACACCTGAACATCAGCAGGAGAGGACTCTTTAAAGTAGAGACACTACATACTGATATACACCTGAACATGAGAGGAATACGTCCTCTTTAAATGTTCAGATCTGGAGGTTGCTGCGTGCTACAAACAATGAACATGAGAACACATAAAGCATAATGAAATGTTTTCTATATATTTGATGAGGTTCCAATGTTAATTCAGGTGTTATTGTTTAGCAAAACCTGAAAAAAGGTGGCCCAGTTTCCTCCTCCACGACCCAGAATTCCTTGCAGCAGCTTGTCACTTTGTGTTCAGTCTGCAGCAGGAGAGAGGAGACTGTTTACAGCTGAGAGCAGACAGCCTCATACATGATGAGACGGTGAGAATAAAACATCACTTTCATGTTATTGTGGCTCACGATAATACTGCACAGCTCTCTCTCTCTCCCGCCCTCTCTCCCTCCCTCTCTCTCCCTATCCGAATAAAACCGAGTGTTTCCGAGAGCGTGCGAGCTGCCTCCTTGCAAGCAGCCATAATTGGGATTATTCAGGAATAATTCGCCTAATCCAGTCGCCTTGTTTTTCTTTTCCCCCTTTTTCTTTTGTCAAATCGTGATTTCCACAGCGTTATGGCGACGTGAATCTGGATTTGTCAGACATGTATCACGGAGGCTGCATTTTTTTTTATTGTGGACTATAATAAGATGTCGCTGAAAAAACAAAGACTGCATATGAACAGTTCGGGGTAAATACCTTTTTCTTTTTGACTGAAAGATGGGAAATAGAGACGTTTGGAGGCTGTTTTCTGTGTGGACTAATTGCACCACCAGCCAATATACATGCCAAGACCATTCATTTATGGGATGCGCGATATTTTCTTCCTCCTCTCCAACGTTTGTGGGTGGGTTATTATAAGCATTGAAAATCTGACATCATTTGGATATATGTGAACACAACAAGGTATGTTGTTTTTTCTAAATCGCGTCAGTTTCTAAGCCTTCTGGAAATCCACCTTCGACGTGATGCAACATAGAAAGCTGTTTTCTCGGATGATATTCAGACACAAATGAACACATCCCTGTGACTGAGAAAGGGTGGCGGTGCTGGATGTTTTTCTGTGGCACAGTCCTCACCCCGGATTGTCTGATCAGCTGTTGATTTTATTTTAGTATTATCTTTATTATAAGATTATGTTGCTCGATTCGCGATGGATTTATGCATAACAGGTGTTGTTTGAGAGCACAGCAGGAGCATGAGGCTTTATTATGTGCTTTTCTCTCGATTTAACAAGCAGTGAAACAAAGCGACTGGGATCCTTTTTCAGTTTTTTTGCCTTGAGAGAAGAGCCGATCCAAAAAAGATGAGGGGATGAAAGGTAGGTTATCATCTGGATCACACACACACACACACACACACACACACACACACACACACACACACACACACACACACACACACACACACAGACACGGCAAACACACACACACATACACACACTCGCACATACGCACACACACATACGCACACACACATCAGAGGTGATTTTGACACCTGTTCATCTGTTTTTCACTCTGTCAGGCCTAGCTGACATGGCAGCCATCTAATCAGGTGAAATTATATGTGTCAAGGTGGCAGAGGGCTGTTATGTATGGGGAGAAAAATAAGCCCTCAGTTACAGAACATCATATTGTTTTTCATGGCCTACATAGACAAGGCCCACCCAGACAAGCACACTACAGTTTATCATAATTTCTACGCCTGTAGATTAGTTTTTTATTACATGAAGCTGCATTTTGTGTTTTTTTCCAATGAATTCTTAATCTTGGCTCCTTGCTGAGGCCTTGTCTGTGCTAATCACGATGTCAACTTTCTCCTGTTGACTCACATTTCACACAGTAGGCCTATAAGGTTATAGAAAAACAACAAATGGCTGCCTGCTCTGCCATATTTGTTATGTGCTGTGAATGGTACACCCTCCTGCCTCTCACACACGTACATACACATACACACACACACACACACACACACACACACACACACACACACACACACACACACACACACACACACACACACACACACACACACACACACACACACACACACACACACACACACACACACACACACACACACACACACACAGAGTGTTCTTTGCTCATTTACAACATCTCTGTTTGTTGGACATGCCCAGTGTTGGTTGTCTGCTCCATCCTCCCCCCCCTCCCCTCGTACACCCCCATGCATTCACTCAAACACCCACACTTGCACAAAGTATGTGAGCTGTTGTATCTTAGCAACGGGCAAGGTAATTACTGAGAGAGCCAAGGAGCTGGCATGCTGTAGAGCTGCTGATCTGATCCCAGCCGCGGAGAAACAGGAAGGCAAATATTTCCACAGTGTTGCCCAACACAGCACTTAAATATATGCACGCTGCTTAATGTAAGTTTCCGTTTAACAAGCACACATCTTGTTTTTTTTCCATGCCTCAAAATGTGTGTGTCTGTGTTCGCAGGTGGCGAGGTTGTGGACAAAGAGGAAAAAAGATGAGTCTGTCATGTAGAAAAGATCCTCACGGCCTCTCCTTGTAGAGACGAGGGAGCCGTGTGGAGAGGGGGTTTGTAGCGTTTATACAAATACAAAAAAGGGCCCCCCGAACAAGGAAGGTGAAACAATGGCTAACCAGAGCTTCGCCATCGATGGACCGGGAAGTTTGCTGGCGGTTCTGGCTTCTCAGAGCGGCATGTCGAGGGGAGGAAGCAGCAGCAGTGGTGGAGGCAGCACTGGAGGAATCTCTGCCACAGATGTGTCCGCCTACTTTAAGCTGGTCTTCTTGGGTCTGATCATCTGTGTCAGCCTGGTGGGGAACCTCCTGGTCTCACTGCTCGTGCTGAGAGACCGGACCCTTCACAAGGCGCCCTACTTCTTCCTGCTGGACCTGTGCCTGGCCGACGCCATCCGCTCGGCCGCCTGCTTCCCATTCGTGCTCGTGTCCGTGCACAGCAGCTCGGCCTGGACCTACAGCGCCTTGAGTTGTAAGGTCGTGGCGTTCATGGCGGTGCTGTTTTGTTTTCACGCTGCCTTCATGCTGTTTTGTGTCGCCGTCACACGCTACCTTGCCATCGCCCACCACCGATTCTACGCCAAGCGAATGACCATCTGGACGTGCGCCGCCATCATCTGCATGGTGTGGACTCTGGCCGTGGCCATGGCGTTCCCGCCGGTGTTCGACGTGGGGACGTACAAGTTCATCCGCGACGAGGACCAGTGCATCTTCGAACACCGCTACCTGAAGACCAACGACACCCTGGGCTTCATGCTCATGCTGGCCGTCGTGGTGCTGGCGACCCACGGCTTCTACGCCAAGCTGCTGCTGTTTGAGTACCGGCACCGCAAGATGAAACCGGTCCAACTGGTGCCAGCCATCAGCCAGAACTGGACCTTCCACGGTCCCGGGGCAACAGGGCAAGCCGCGGCCAACTGGATCGCAGGGTTCGGTCGCGGGGCCCATGCCTCCGACTCTGCTGGGCATCCGTCAGAATCTACACAATCAGCACCGGCGGCTGCTGGGGATGGAGGAGGTTCGGTCGGAGAGGAGACTGGGCAGGATGTTCTACACCATCACCCTGCTCTTCCTGGTCCTCTGGGCGCCCTACATCGTGGCCTGCTTCTGGAGGGTGTTTGTGAAGTCCTGCACCATCCCCCAGCGGTACCTCTCCATCACGGTGTGGATGAGCTTCGCCCAGGCCGGAGTCAACCCCATCTTCTGCCTCCTGCTCAACGAGGACCTGAGGAAAGTGCTGAGGGCTCACCTGCCCACCTACTGGAGGACTAAACAACACCTGCCCCAGGACGAGGCCTACTGCATCATGTGATCCGATTCACACAAGAGAATGTTTCAGGTTTTTCAAAAAAGCGAGGATTTGAAGTGATGTAACGCACCTTGGCTAAGTGTCTGTTTTGCACAACGAAACCCGATTTTTGCCAACGATTGCAGGCACGTTATTAAGAATGTTTGAATAAATGGTGCAGAGGTTTTACTTTAGGGGGGCGATAATGACAAAGCCCTTCTTCAGTTTCTGATGATTTACTGTTTGATTAATCAGTAGGAAAAGATCACAACTATCACCGCTCCAACTAAGTGTGACAGATGCCATTTTAAAATAATGTTGCCTTATTTCAGTGGGACACGCCCCAGAGCTTTCATGAGTTTGTGTCACACGAGGCTCAAAACAGACACACACAGGGATGAAAAATCCTTCAATAAAATGTGCTGCAGACTTTTGAATAGAAAGTGTTGATCAGAGCGTTACTAACTCTGAAACACATCAAGGAACTCAAAGGGGTCTGAACGGATGAATAGACCACCCCGGACGCCTTTTCATGTAATTCAGAGGAGACTGCAGAATATCGAATGGACCCAATAACCTTGGATACATTTAAATAGCTCTCGTGAACCCGAAGAGCCCCTAACATGCTTGATTTTTTTGGACTTGATTTAGGGCGTGTCAGGTTTTCTTTGTATCATAAAAAAAAAAATTGCCTGTTTTTCCTTTTATTTGTAAACTATACATGTTAAGCAGATGACACTATTTTGAAATATGACTTGATTTCATATTGTACAGACTGTACGGGAATGTCTATTCCTGCTTGTGTGTTTTTATATAGCATTTGTGTGTATGTGTGTGTGTGTGTGTGTGTGTGTGTGTGTGTGTGTGTGTGTGTGTGTGTGTGTGTGTGTGTGTGTGTGTGTGTGTGTGTGTGTGTGTGTGTGTGTGAGAAGAGAGGAGGGGATATAATGATGATAGAATAGGTTCCAGTAATATTGAGTCAATATGAAAAGCAGCCTCGTCTTGGTGTCTCAAAACCATGCAAAAATTTAACAATATTCATATGGAAATGTATCCTTTAAATGGATTTCCGTAAAATGTATTCTGATTTTTTTTCAAGCAAATGTGAAGTATGAGGAATTATGAATAATTACAAAACAACACTTGTGCATCACAAACAGGCCGGAGGATTTAATTACTTGAATGATGATGTAAATGTACAAAAATTAGCAAATGATGATCTTGGGAATGTTTTACTGTTATGCTGACAAAAAATGAAGGAATGAAGCGGCCCTTAAAGGGAACTTGAATGTTATAAGGCCCCCCAGACAACATAAATGTCACAATGTCCTGGATTTTAAAATGTTAAAAGGCTGGATACGACCACAGAGAAGTTTGTTGTGTGGAAAACCGACTACATGAAGTTGTCTGAAATGTAAGATTCATGTAATACAAATGTCAGACCTACAGGATGTTAGGCATAGATATGTTTGTGCAGTCAATTTTTCTAAATGTGGACACTTGCACAGCATACTGTATTAGCATGCATTCCACTGCATTTCATAGATTCAAGACTTGGGGGTTACAACTTGTACAGATGTTGATATAAATGGGAGGAAAAAGTGAAGCAAAAACCGAGGTTCAAACTTTTTACGTCTGGCATTCCTTCGCGAGATGATATTCTGTAACTGTACAGTTTAACTGAGGTGGTTCTTTTGCCCACTCATCAATAAAGACTCTACTTTTGATGCATTATGACGTATGAGCTGCCCATATATGGACATGGCTGGATTATTACTTCCTTATTTTTAATTACTAAAAGCGCTGTAAACGGCTGACGTTTTCACCTGTCGGCCACCGTACTGGCCTCCCTCAAATGATTTTTGATTTCTTACTCATGCACTCATATTTCAAATCAACAAAGACAATTGGAGGAATTAGAACACATTTGACATCTTATGAACTGAACACGGGTCAGAATAGTTATTTTATCCTCGGGAAAATTGTTTTGTGACAGTTGCTCTGTTTTAAAATGAAATTTTAAAAAAAAGAAACAAATTGAATAACAATATTTGTATAGATATAAGAAATTAAAGTTAGAATGTCCCCCCAAAAAATACAGATATTTATATAAATATAAGAAGTTGAAGTTAAATGACCAATAAAAGATTAACTATAATTTAATAAAAAATTATGTTGGATATAAAACATATGAATTCAAATAAACAGTGCCTTTAGCTTAGCGGTGTTGACGTGAAGTCATGTGACCGTGCTGTAGTTCCTTTATAGCCCAACATTAGCCTCCTTTAGCTTAGCGGTGGTGAAGTCATGTGACCGTGCTGTAGTTCCTTTATAGCCCAACATTAGCTGCCTTTAGCTTAGCGGTGGTGACGTGAAGTCATGTGACCGTGCTGTAGTTCCTTTATAGCCCAACATTAGCCGCCTTTAGCTTAGCGGTGGTGACGTGAAGTCATGTGACCGTACTGTAGTTCCTTTATAGCCCAACATTAGCCGCCTTTAGCTTAGCGGTGGTGACGTGAGGTCATGTGACCGTGCTGTAGTTCCTTTATAGCCCAACATTAGCCGCCTTTAGCTTAGCGGTGGTGACGTGAAGTCATGTGACCGTGCTGTAGTTCCTTTATAGCCCAACATTAGCCGCCTTTAGCTTAGCGGTGGTGACGTGAGGTCATGTGACCGTGCTGTAGTTCCTTTATAGCCTAACATTAGCCGCCTTTAGCTTAGCGGTGCTCTAGTTCCTTTATGAACCCAACATTAGCCGCCTTTAGCTTAGCGGTGGTGACGTGAAGTCATGTGACCATACTGTAGTTCCTTTATAGCCCAACATTAGCCGCCTTTAGCTTAGCGGTGGTGACGTGAGGTCATGTGACCGTGCTGTAGTTCCTTTATAGCCCAACATTAGCCGCCTTTAGCTTAGCGGTGGTGACGTGAAGTCATGTGACCGTACTGTAGTTCCTTTATAGCCCAACATTAGCCGCCTTTAGCTTAGCGGTGGTGACGTGAAGTCATGTGACCGTGCTGTAGTTCCTTTATAGCCCAACATTAGCCGCCTTTAGCTTAGCGGTGGTGACGTGAAGTCATGTGACCGTACTGTAGTTCCTTTATAGCCCAACATTAGCCGCCTTTAGCTTAGCGGTGGTGACGTGAGGTCATGTGACCGTGCTGTAGTTCCTTTATAGCCCAACATTAGCCGCCTTTAGCTTAGCGGTGGTGACGTGAAGTCATGTGACCGTGCTGTAGTTCCTTTATAGCCCAACATTAGCCGCCTTTAGCTTAGCGGTGGTGACGTGAGGTCATGTGACCGTGCTGTAGTTCCTTTATAGCCTAACATTAGCCGCCTTTAGCTTAGCGGTGCTCTAGTTCCTTTATGAACCCAACATTAGCTTTTTACTTGAAAAATCAATAAGTGGTGTTAATATAGGAGATTATCCTGCTGTGTGTCTGCCACATATATTATTTTCTGCAATAATCCAAAATCCAAGCAAAAAATCCAATTGGCTTTTTGTCAAGGGAACCAGAGAGATGCTAACTTCAGGGTCGGTCTTCAGGAATACATCATCACGGCATCACTTACTCAATTCAACAATCTAAGTCAGGGGTCGGCAACCCCTGGCACGCGTGCCACCAATGGCACGCGGCACCGTAACCAGTGGCACACTAGGAATAAGTGGAATAAGTGTACAAAATATTTATTTTATTTTCGGATCCTGAACGAGACCGCCGCCAGAGCGCGTCTCCCCGTTAAGGCCCTGACACACCAGGCAGTCACCAGAGAACTCGCCGACATCCGACACCGACAGATCCATCGACGAGTTCTCCTGCGTATTGGCCGTGTGTCGCACTGAAATACACCGCTTTACTACAGCCGAGCACGTACGAACTGCGCATGCGTGAGTGGCAATAACTCTCCTTACCAGCAGGCGGCGGTAGTGTGTATTCGTCATTCAAAATAGGCAACAACCGGAAGACAGAGAAGAAGAACAGACTGATATACAAACAAATAGCGGGTGCCGTTCGAAACATGTTTTAGAATATAAAAATACATGCATGATGAAATGAGCACATAAAGTGCAGACATACTATAAAATCACAGTTAATAGACCTGCATCTGATGATCGCAGTGTTCTGGCGGGTGTGTAGTTTATTGAGTCAGCAATGTAATAATGGCCACTTCTTGCTAAATTTACGATGAGATGAAAAACCGGACTTGACCAAACAAATCACGGAGCTCTCAGCAGAGGACAGCCGGGGACGCTCCCGCCGATATCAGAGTATGTCCCTGCTATGTGTGGGAGGTAAGAGAGGACATTTAAATCGTTTGTTTACGTCCCTCACTTCCGTTTCGCTTCTCATTTGCTAGCTGAACAGCTGATCAGAGTGGTTTCTTGGCCCGATAGCTTGTGTCCAACACCCGGCCGACTCAACATGTTGAATCGGCCGGGTGTCGATCGTGAAAGGCCAAATAAGGCGTGTCACGGCCGAGGGTTCGGGACACACCAAATTGACTTTGGGCGACAAGGAACCCGTTTTCGCCCAACAACGCAAGACGGCCGATATCGGCCTGGTGTGTAGGGGCCTTACCTGCAGAAGGAAGCCATGCGCGCAACGCAGCCCCACTCAAAAAGGCCGATCGCGAGACGTAACATACATGACACTTTTCTCTGTGTGCGGCAAAACAAGCTCGCCAAAATCGCTTCACCAGTCTGGCAGTATTTTAAGGTGTCCGAAAAAGACAATAAAATAGCGGTATGCAACGTGTGTGAAGCAGAAATCCTGCAGCTCCACCCGCTGTGACGGACCGGTGAGCGGAGCAGAACACACAAGAGTTAGACCTAACACACTTAGCTATTTGATCTACCTTTGGAACTAGTTATAAATATATTTATTCTTCACTGTCACTCATTACTGGATCAGTGAGCTGCATGAGATACTGACAGGCTGTCAGGAGAGAGAGAGAGGGGGAGAGAGGAAAAGAGAGCGCTTCCGCTCATTTCCCCCGTGTTATTATCCAAAGTTAATGTAAACTTGAATAATATAGGCGACTTCATTTGAATGTAACAATTATGTTGGTTGTTGTTTGTTGAAGCGCCAGTGAATGAGCCCCATTAACTGAGTTTTAAACATCACTTTTCACGAGTGTTTTCGTCGAGCTCTTCAACACCCTCTCTCCCCCCCCCCCCCGTTGATAATTCACGATCGTCGGCACGCTGATAAAATTTTTTTTTTAGAATGGCACTTCATATCAAAAAGGTTGCCGACCCCTGATCTAAGTCATCAAACCGTCCTTGTTGGACTTTCCAACAACAACCGTGGTTTTGAGAGTTTCGAAAAGAGACTGGAGAGAATAATCTGTTATTTCTACTTCAAAAGTTAACGGATTACTTTTTAAACTACCTGTATGAGGCAAAAACAGATATATTGCAAGGTCATTGAAATGTGTCACTATAACAGAGAGTAAGTACAGTAGCAATACCCTCTGCAACCTTGAGAGGAGACAATATGTAGTCGGATGAGCTGCATTCATCATACATAATGTTCAAAACGAGAAAATACTGACTGTTTTTCACAATTTAAGGTAACTTGTTTGTTTTTCTCAAGCATTAAAATAATTATTTGAAATAATAATTATGATAAATAATAATAATAATTACTGTTTTCCACAATTTCCACATTTTTTATAAATTGTTTGTCTTTCTCAAACACTTAAATAATGAATAATAGCAATAATAATAATAAAGAACAATTATAAATTACTTTTCCATATTGCAAAGTGCTTCACAAATCAGGTTGAAAGAGAAAAATGTTATCAAAATAAATAAATGCATTATAAAGGA